ACAGGAATCGTAAGCCTAGACATACTCATACCAAAAAGTGATTTTAGTTGTTTTGAAAGACTAAATTCCAAAAAATAGCCTGTAGAGAAGGCATTGTTTCAAGAGAAGACAGTTGGCTTGCTGTATTTCTCTGTGTCACTCCTACAGACTGCTGCAGCTTACTGATATTATTCATTTTCTTGTCTACATTGTATCATTCACTTACAGAACAGCAGGTGAGCCTCCCAGAATCAGTGTATGACTACTACAGAATTTGCTAATGCGTACAACCTGACAGTAATTCCTGTCAGACCTACTCAAATTCTGGGATTGCTGTTTTACACTAGAATTACTTCTCTTGTCATGTACAAATTTTGTTAGCAAGAAGTGGGAAAGAAAGTCAGGAGAATACTACTGTACAGTATCAATGTGAAATTGAGTCACTGAAAAGGCTGGAAGTTATCTTTTTAAAACTTTCTCAATAGTGACTAATACGTGAAATGTCTTGGAGAGAGCCTGTGAGGTAAGCGAATGCTAGTAAAATGATGAGGAGGTGGAACATGCACGTTACGTTAATATTTATTAAATAAATGGATAATAAAGGATTTCACATTAGAATCTGCTACTGTAGCATCCCATATAAGGTGAAAAATGCCTTTCTTTTAGATGAACTAGGTGGCAGGTGGACAGGGAAGGCTCTAGATCAGTGGCTTAATGAGCCATAGTATTTATAAACAGTGTACACATAACCATTTGAGTTTACATACGGAGTGTTTATAACCAGGCGATCCCACTGCCCTTTAATATCATCTTCGGATGGCTGTTCAGTTATGTATAGCCCGTCAAATTCCAGCTTTCTCGCTACCTCCTTTTCTCTCTTGAATACAACCAGCGGGACCTATGAAAATGGCAGTGGATATTTTGTCATGGTTTATATATTTTTAGAAACCACAATATCTACCTACAGTATTAAGTACTCTTTATAGTACTACATAAGACCAAACATCACACCAGCACCTCCCACAAGCAGACCAATGCCTAGCCAGCCCCTGAGCAACAGCGGCCTTGGAAGTCAATCCCCAGTTTTTATTGCTGAGCATGACGTTACATAGTATGGAATATCCCTTTGGTCTGTTCAGGCCCGCTGTCCCAGCTGTGCCCCCTCCCAACATACTCACTGGGGGAAGCACAGGGTGGGTAGAGCAAAGAGAAAGCCTTCACACTGCGCAAGCCCTATTCAGCAATAACCTAAAGGCGGGTGGGTTACCAACGCTGTTTTAACCACAAATCCAAAACACGCACACTGCCATGAAGAAAGCCTGTTGGACTGAGTACATGAGGAGAACATCTACATATTGAATAGTGAGAATTTGTAAACAGCTAGGTACAAACAGGTATTCCAGTATTAGCTCCAAAAGTAACTTTGGGACGTAGCCAATGGCTTTTAACAAATATAGAATAGTAGTAAGATTCAGAACTTGCCTTTAAGCAATAGTATCCAATCACACAGACAAAGGAGATGATAGTATGAATAACTGCCAGCGCTCTGAGAGCAGGTGCCATGTAACCCGTACTTTCTTCTAAAACAAAAAACACCATGCCTTCCTCCTCCTCCTCTTCATCAAAAGAGTTCCAGAGATTAGAGTCTTCCTCTACCTCATCAAGTGGCTCTTCTGTCACCTGAGAGGAATTCAAGCACATTGAAAACACACAATAAACTAACTTAAAAGCTTTTCCTTTACTATGATGACAAATCACGTTTGCAAAGCCTGCTTCTGGGAAGATGATGAACAGTAATGTCCTTCATTTTTACAGCAAAAGTCTCCACATCATCTCATCTAGAAGAGAATCTAGAAAAAGCAAGTACAGGCATAGGACAGTTTACAAATCTTTCCTTTAACAGTGCCATAGCAAAACCAAAACAGTGAAAAAGTTACCCAAAAAGGTTTTCTTGGAAGAACCAAGCAATGACAGGTTTATCTAATATGACTGAATCTAGGTTTGTTTTCCTGATTACTAGAGTCTAGAAAGAAACAAACTTCTCATGTTACTAACTTGTACATTGTCCATAAATTTTTATTTCATGACTTAGTTTAGAGCTTACAAATTAATACAGTATTTAATCAGTATTTCATAAATACCCCAAGCCATAAAGCTGACATACTGCCCTAAATTCTTCCAGCGACTTTAAAAACCTGGCCTTTAAAATAAAGGTCCTAAGTGTTCTCCTTCTGACAGCTTTATCTGACAGCTGAAGTCCTGTTTCACTCCCACTGACCCTTTCCTATCTATGAGAGAGGGACTTGTACTGATAAACACAAATCTTTGTCCTGGCTCTGCAAGAGGATGGGTTGTTGGCTGACCCACAAGACCCCATGAAAAGCAGAAGAGAGGGGGGAGAAAAGGACCGCCATAGACAAAAGCAGACTTCTGTGTATACCTGTGAAGTCCCTCCTCTCTAACCAAATGGGATGGCAAGAGAGAGGCAAGAAGGGAGCCTTAAACAGCCCTGATGGTCTTTCTGCTGGAATGGTGCACCTTCATTTTACCCAGTTTTCAAGAGCCTTTTGCATCTCTACCTGCCCTGTCTCCAAGACTGTAACCGCATTGTAGGAGTTGTTTTTCAAGATATTTGAGATCAGGATTCAGTTACTTCTAGACTGGAAGTTCAGCCAGTTCTCTGAAGTTTTTCGTTGTAAACAACAGAACTAGAAAATGTAATACTGGAAACCACAATATTCCTCCGGAAGTAACCAAAAAACATTTAAAGAAAAATGCATAATCTTACCTTGTAAAATAGAAGAATAAAGTTGATGGCAAATGCAACAAATAAAGCAAGAAACCTCAAGTTATAAAAATTTCTTGCCAAGTAGTGCTGAAAGTAAAAAAAAATAATTAAAAAGTTAGAGGTGGTCTGTAGCTAGTATCAGGATAAGAAAAGTAGGCAGCAGAGTTTCTGAGAAAGTAAATACATAATTGTGTTGCCTTCATACACGAGTTATAATGAGCAAGGGCATTTCTTGGCAGCCTATTCTCCCATTTCATGGTAAACAGGATTAAAAATAATAGACTAGAAGGAAGTCTGGAAGAGAAATGCTAGAATACTGGAATAAACTACTTGAGAAGGTTTCAGAGAGTTCATCATTTGATGTTTTTAAGAATAAAGAAAAATCTTATAGAAAACAGAATTACAGATTCTAAAAGTTAGAATATGGAAATAGGGAGCTCCTCACAAGGAGCTCAAGAGGTTAATCTGTCCTGTTAGACCAAGACAGGAGAAATTAAACACACAAACACTTTATTTATGTAACTCTATGAAGTATTACAAAAATCACAAAAGCCTGAATACAGCCAGTCATTTGAAAACTCATGCCAATGTTCCTTTTACAATGAAATTTCTCCCTTCAATATCAAACAAGTGTTCTTTATTGCATAAATAAAAATTCAATGACTGAAAGAATTTAAGAAAAACTTACGAGCATTTTTGTTTGATAAATTTCCAAAGCTTTGAAGAAGTTAGCCATAACAGCCTCTGGTTTCTCAATTTTTTGTCCATGCCTTCGCTTCTTTTTCTTCATTTTTCCCTCTTCTAGCTGCTCGGATTGTACTTCCTTTGCTTTATCTTGTTTCTCACCATCTTCCATGCTAGAAGAAAGGTTATCTAAACAATACCCAGCCAAACTTCTGTATTGTAAATGCATTCATTTAGAAAGAATTCTAATTCAGAACGTTTGGTTTTGAAAGCTGGTTTTGGCACTGGGAGAAAAATGATGGTAAGAAAGGGGCTTGAGGTAGACAGTAAACCCAGAGTCAAAAAAGTGAGCTTAGTTTCAAATGATATGCAAGAATAGAGTTGCTGAGTTGAGATCAAAGGGTAAAAAGCCAAAAACCAGGCAGAAGTTGCTGCACCAAGTGTGAAGTGGATAATGTTTGCCAAAACCAGAGATGTACACATATACCTAATAAAAGCAACATTAAAATTTTAAGAGTTCATGTGTACTTTCTTGAGCCTGGGGCTGATTAAGAGAAATAAAGCTTCTGAGATTTGGTACACAGGATCATAACTGAATCACAGTATCATAAAATGAATTAACTTCAGTCAAGGCAATCACTGTTGTTACAGAGATGAATATTAACAAGGAAGCTGCACCTTACAAAGTATGTAGCAGATGACAATCACTCCTCCTGAACCCCTGAACTGCCTTTATGAAAATTAAGTACCAAGACTGTATGTAGTAATAGGGGAATTTACTTACTAAACTAAAAACAAGCTGAATTTGCATATATGTAAAAAAATGTCAAGGCATCAGGCTGTTTGAAAGTTTAGGCATGAGGGTAAAGAAATGCAGTATGTGGTTCACTTTATGACACTACTACTGCAGTAGGAATCATATGATCGGTTTGTAAGAATGTGTTTATCTTCTACCAAAAAAAGTCCCTGTTGCAGCCTCAGAAATGTAAGCCATTTAAACTCAAATTTTTAAGCTGAAGGCAATTTGAATATGCTGCAAAAGTACTTGAGAGGATAATTAAACATGGCAGACGAGAGAAGACAACAGGGAATAAGGAAAATAAGTCCAATAAAACAATAGAGGTAGAAGGAGATCATGCTTATGGAAAATAAGAGGTGAAAAAGCCTGAAATAAGAAAGTGAGTGACACAGGAGATTTTGAGCAAATCCCTAGATAATTATAAATTGCTTCACTGAAGAACCAGTGAATATGCTAGTAGTGTCAAAATCAGGAGACCAAAATCAGTCAAGAAAGAAAAAAGCCCAGCACTGATATGATTTGACAATATTTTTAAAAGGGATCATTTGACCAGTCTAAGCATTAACCAGCATAATAGTACATTATAACATGGTCTAGATAAAACAACAGTTTCTGAAACCGCTTATTTTCAAGTTACTGTCTACATACTGAGTAACACTCATCAACAGGTCCTTTGGATACGTGGTACCAAAAAACCATAGAAGAGCATCAGTGCACTTTTTAATTATGGGAAGTGCTCTAAACAATGAAAATAACATGCCTAACATCCCTCCAGGGATTGAAGAGAGAGACAAATCCTATCAAAACAATTCTGTGACAATAAAATGCAAGAAGGGGACTTTATAATTGAAGAAGTAGGTTAGACACAGCCTGAAAGGTAACAGGAAGTGAACCATCAGATAGATCCTGAGCCATCACAGATACTGTTGATGGCATACTTTAATGAGGTAACAGGAAGAAACAACCAACCAACCAACCAACCAACCAAACCCCCACCATTTAAATGCACACATGTGTAGGCATACTATACGTGTACACATTCTTGTCCATGTGAGGCATACATATATACATATATGTGTATAGACATGTAAACATATATATACAGAGGGGGAAAAAAAAAGGATACTTTTCAGACAAGCTACACAAAGTGTATCTAGTCCTAAAATATTGACCCCAATGGCACACTTAAAAAGATTAACTTTGGCAGATAAGAGGAGAAAGATAAATGAGGCTGAAGCAAACATTTTAAACATGAAGGAAAATAGAAAGCAAAGAAAAAACCTTATGTATAGCTTTTGAAAAGATAAGAATCTCTAGGAGATCTTTTGTGTGTGTCTACAAGTATTTTAAGGGCATTCATCAGGCTGCAAGCCTACCATGTGGCTGCAGGTCCAGAAAGACAGCACGCCCATTAAAAGTAAGATGCTGCTAAAGCAAGGTAAGCATTTTAATAGTTGTTTATAAGGCAGTCATATATAGGATGAGCGGACAAAGGAATGTATCTGCTGTCAAGTTCACAACTTGAGAACAGATAAACAGCAATAATAAAAATTGCTGGGTTAGTCAAATGTTGTGTTTCAATGATTGACCATTGTTTGCCTTAAAATTATAGTGGGTAGTAGAGAAAGAGTAAATGGCAGTAATGGCAAGTCGCAGAGGTTTTTTCAAGACTGGTACTCATTTTTAAAGGTAGTTATGGGAATTTTAAGACAGACAATGGCAGAATTGTCAAGGGCCACAAAAATCAGATTACCATTTTCTTGCCCACTGAGATGGTCTGCCACTTTTTAGGGACTGTGCTGCTCTTCAAAATACTGATGAGACAAAGTGTACATAAAGTGCTGTGAATACTGAGCATTGCTTGGATTCTCTCTGGCCAAATTATCTGGCATTAAGAAGTAGCATGGAATGAAACAGGAATTGTGTAAAAATAACTTACTCAGCCTTCTCAGCTTCTGCTTTTCTTTCTGTTTCAGCTTTTGCAATTTCAGATATCTGCAAAAGTATGTTAACTGTCAAAATGGATCCGTTCAAATAAAATTTTGTAACTTTAGATACTAAGAAACAAATAAAATAATTACCACGCTACATTTTTATACCACTTTGCACTTTCGAAGTGTTTGTTAGATTTTTAAAAACAGACAGCTCAGACTAGATTTTAATGGTGAAAAATGTGGAAATTTTTCTGATAGCCTTTTTCAGTGTTGTGTTATCAATACTGTAACTAGCTCAGTTGACTGAACAATTTAAAGTAATTATACATGGTTATCAGACAGATTGTGTGACCAGTTGAGGATGAAGGTAACTACATCCAGATCATACCCTAATACAAAAGTCACTCACAAAGACTTGGTGCAGTTACTGATTACAGCATCAGTTTGCCTCATTCCAAATATGGAATGAGGAATAATATGTCAGTGATAGCATTGAAAATCTGAAAAATATCTGTGTAATTATCAGATATTACAAAACCCAACTACTTTGTCAAGATCAACAGATGCACCTGAAAACAGATAAATATTTAAACAACGTTTACCTACACAATGTTTTCTTCAGACTATTTATCTTAGGTGTATTGATGGTTCATTAAACCTTTACTGGCACACCTCACCACCACCTAAGTATGTATTTACAACATTCCCTTGAGATAAGGATAAGCCAATATATGATTTTACAGATGGCTAACTGCAGCAGAGAAGCTGGGGCTTGGATTTCAAACACCTTTAGGCTCAGTGTTGCAAGACCAAAGTAAACTCATTTCAAATGCAGTTTGAGTATCTACGCTTCACTGGAAATCAAAGAGATGCAGGCTCTGAAGTCCTGAATTCACAAAGAAAGTGCCTAAATTTGTACCATTCACTTTTTCAAAAACCTATCTTAGCTCTTTACCCTTTCCTGTATTCTCTCAAAGTGCTCAGAAACCAATTACCTATCATGTATTCTCCTACATTTCTGGTTGACACATAAATACAGTTATCTAAACGTTTCCCCCACTACTCACCTGGATGCCTCTCTCTCGCACATAAATAGCAAAAGATCTCCCCTCTTATCTGTGGAACCTCACCTAGCACATGTAATGGAAGCATGTGTAACTCGTAACTCTTCCACAGTTCCCCCTAAGATCTCAAGCTGGTGGAGAGTAATTCAGAGATCATTTGAGGATGCCTAGTTCTTCTAAGGGGTAGGGTGGGGGAAGAATGAAGAAATCCCTATCCATCTTCTCCATCCCTCTATCATATGCTCTCTCGGTTGTCTCCTTTTCAGGCTGAAAGGGCTTAACCTACCTAATTCCATACACAAGATTTGTTCCATAGCAGGCTTTGGTAACTTTTTGACCTTCATTGAACCTTTTTTCAGTTTTATCACATTCTTTTTGAAATGGGGGAACCTGGCCTTCAAGATCCAGATATACTTTGGGTCCACGGAGCATATAATGTTCTGGGGTTCTCCTCTCTCTATTCCTTTGTCAACAATTCAAACTTTCAGTTTGCTTTTCTGATCTGTGTTGACTGACATTTTCATTGAACTGATACTTCTGTATAACTCTGTTATATTCCCAAGATTTCATACCCAAGCAGTAACAATGAGCTAAAAATCCAGCATTTAACATGCAAAATTATAACTTTTTCTCCTATACATATATATCTATGTATATCTATATCTCTATATATCTCACTTCATTGATTTTCATCTGCTATTTTAGGGCAACTTTGTAGTTAGCTGGTTTTTTTGGGGGGGGGGGGGGGGGTGGTGTTGGTTTTTTTTTTTGCTGCTACGAATATCTCAGATTTAACTGTTAGCATACTACTCACTTCTGTTCTTATTTGTGAACCCGCACGGCTCTCAGCACAGATTCCTGTGGAACTTCACAGTAAAAACTAAGTCCTAACAATCTTCATCATATACAATTCCATAGGTTATTTTGCCATTTTCTCTGGCTATATGGTAATGCCATTCACCTTATTGCTGCACAATTGTTTTTTGGAGTATATAGAGGTGAATTTCTGTTTCTACCCTTGTGTAAATTTTATTATTGTAAATGACATAGTGACTTCCCGAAGGGAATTTTTTATTATTACATTGTTGTTTCTTCTTTGAGCTCTACTTACAAGTTATACCCAGTGGTCTAACTGGATTACTTGAGCTGTTTATATACACAACATGAATAGCAATTTCTGTAATAAAGAATTAGTGTAAACATTAATTTGAAAAGTTTCACTAGATAACATAAAGGTAAAAGCTGGATAAATTTCATAGCTGACTTCACATTAAGGACTCAAAGTATCTGCATAAGTTGCTGAGCATTTTATCAATAGTTACAAGCAAATCTGAGAGAAATGTATAAATCAAAGTAAAGCAAAGAAAAATCTAAAATATTTACTCAGCCCTGCTAAGATTCTTAAGTTAAAAAAATATTTTTAAGTACCAAACACATTACATTTATGCTAAATGAGACAGGATTTTAAAAGCCTGTAATTACTAAGAACACAAAAATGAATAAATAAATAAATAAGAAAAATAAATGGAAAAATACAGTTTAATCTAGGCAATAAACAAATCTTGGAGAAAACCATATGAATGAAGAGGAAATAATGAACTAAGAAGCTGTACAATGGAGGTTTATCTTGAAAATATCTGGAAAGCATACCATAAAGAGGTGGATTCATGATGAGAGGGAAGATATATTTGAATAACAAGTAGAAACAGATTTGAAGTGTAGAGTGAAACACAATGCCTTCCAAATATGACAATTGCATTTGGGCTTTGACATTTAGTTCAATCTATTTTTAAACAGAATGATAAATTTTATTTAGCTCAGCTAAGTGGAACAAAATTTATTATTCATAAAACAGAATAAAAGTAAATGATTATACGATAAACATTAAAGTAACAATAAATTCAGGCAAATTTTTTTCAAATAATATGAAAAAAGGATATTTTATTGTATGTGATCACTAAAGCATAGAGAAGAAAGATGATGATGATAAGGCATTATTATGGATAAAGTAGATCGTAAAAGTAATTGAAATATACTGTGAAAAAATGGGGTATGCACAATAAACAAGCCTGTAAACCATTTAAAGCAAAACCTGTGCCTAGAAAGCTGCTAGCAATTTCTGGTTTGAATGTCAAATGAACAATAACAGCAATTTACTGCAGTGAAATCTAAACACCCTGGGCTGAATTTTTTTGCCACATAAACTCTCCTGTTTGTTTTTAAAAGAGTAGAGGTTATAAAGAATGTTCTCATTGAGAACATTTATTAATCAGTTATCTGGCAAATAAGTTACTAATAGAAAAATCAGTAATATATTTGTATTATTACTATTTTCTGCAAAGAAATACAAACTCTAACATACCTGTAATCCTTTTTTCTTACGAGCTGTGTTTTCCAAAGATGACTGGATATCACTACCAAGGATTTCTGCAATATCTCCAAGTCCAGCATCATGAACGTGTTTTGAGCCACCTTCTTTCTTTGTATGAATGCCAAAAATGTCTGAGATGATGTCAGTTTCTGCCTTTTCACCTTTCACAAACTGCACAAGTTCAGCTCTGATGCCGTGCTCAGCACCTTCAGCTTTTTCTGCTTCCATAACATCATCATGGATTCCAAACTGTGTTGGGTCAGGCATGTCCCCTAATATTTTAGTAACTTTAATGTTTTTGGCTCCTTCAACCAGGCCACCCCCAAATACAGTGCTCCAAAGAATCTGGAAAATTCCCCAGACTATAGTAAAGAACAGCTGGAACACACCTACAAATAGGATCCAGAAAAAGGAGAAAAACACTTTCACCATCTCTTTTACTGTCATCTTTCTAACTTTCCTATATTGTTTCCTTAGGTTCTTCACAGTGACCATTTTGAAAAAGTTTGCAATATTCTTCTTCACTGCAACACAGGCCATTGCAAAAGCTGAAGCAGATTCCAGGGACTTTTCTTCCTCATCGTCTCCGATATCCACTACATAACATGGCTCTGCCTCCTCCTCATCCTCAGGCCTCTCAGATGAATCAGTTTCAGAGATTTGGGATGCCAACTGCATTTCAAAGATCGTGTCTTCACAGAAATTCACAAAGAGTTCCATTTTTTCTTGCTCTCCACCTTCATTTACAACATCAAATATGAACTGCCTTTTGGATTCCTTCACCTGTGGCTTCTCCCACTGCATTCTACTGGATTCACTGATTTCAAAGTAAACTCTTTCTATTTTCTTGGCTCCACCCATTATTTCAATACGACCAAGGTATGGTTCAAAGTAATTAAGAACACTTTCCGCAGGTTCAAGTAAGCTCTGAAGGCGTGAATCGTTAGGCATGTGCTCTGAAAGGTTTGTTAGCAATACTGCTACATTAAATCCAATGTCTTTGGCTGGTTCATGGAATCTTTCCACAAAATCAACATAGTTAAACATATCATTTTCATCAGCTTCTGCACAGGACTTTTCAATCTCTGACTGTATGTATTGTTTTTGAGCCTCCATTGATTTCTGGAATTCCTTCTTTGAAATGATGCCTTTACCATCTGGGTCATGCTCTTTGAAAGCATCTGAGTTAGTCAGATCTTTTAACTTGAGGAACATGTCAAAGAACTTCAAAATCATTTCTACGTTGCTAGATGATTCTACAAGCGTGTCTACCATTTGTTTTCCAATAGTTCCATTTACAACGTTACCTAAGTAGTGTGTTAAAACAGGAAGTTATTTGGCATTGCTACATTTTAAATAAATAAATGTCTTATTCATGCTGAGAACAGAACAAATTTGTTCTTAAATATTCGTGATTTTTCTTTCAACATGCTTTTATTTTTCACAACTATGTATATTCTACAACAATTGTGAAATAAATATGAAATAGTTTTTTTTCCTGGCATTACATAAAGGCAATTAAAACCAGATTATAAAGATTAATGTAATTATCATACTTTACATTAGGAAGCTGAGATAATCATATTTGACCATAAAGTAAAACAGGTCCAACCTTCAAGTAGTGACAAGAGCATCACTACCATATCCTTTAGCAGATCTAGCAGTTCTTTAAGCAATTCAATCTGAGCAGAGTCCTGTAAAAAAAAAAAAAAAAAAAAAGGCATATAAGGTTGTTTTTTCTTTCTATTTATCTGGAAAACTAAATACGTTTGGAAAAAAACAGTATGCAGGATGGTCACTTAAATGTAGTTCACATTCTTCAGCAACATTTCATTGTCATTTTATTATGATTACTATCAGAAGTCTTATACAATATGAGGGTAACTTACTACAGCAGAGGTATTAATAACATAAAGCTTTAATAAAGCCTTAAGGAGTACTGAAGTACAGGTAAGGGACCAGAGAAACTCACAAAACTGGTTACTCCACATATCTGGCAGTATTTATCTCAGAAAGGATCCATCCTTTCTCACATCACTGGGAACATCTAATGGCATAACACATTAGCACTCAAACAGAACTAGAACTATTTAGTTTAACTACAGAACATAGTAAGTCTTAACATGGATTTGTGATTAACATTAAGGATGTAAAAACTGTTAAGTATCCTCAAAATTCTGATATACTTCTGTAGGGTGGGAAGAAATCTTATAAGCAAGTCAGAGGGTAGCAGAGACAATGAATCAGTGAGGAACTGACTCTGCACTGTTGCATTCAGTGCCTAGTGGCTTGACTGTATGGGTACATTAAGCAGAAGCCACAAAAGAACACAGAAGCCTGAAACTGCAAAGAGGGGTGGGACTCCACAGTGCCCTGCCCAGTGAAATGAACACTGCCTGCTGCCCTCCTGCTCCATGCCTGTGATGAATTAACTGGACAAGTGGACTGACTGTCACAGTCCCTCCCTCTTTGAATCTTTCCCAGCTTTTCACTTGCCCTACTTAGCTGTAGCATGGGAACCGCACTTTTAATGGTTCTTCTGCTCTGACAGATCATCAGGTTTTGGCAACAGGGAGGAAGGGACCAAATTGCCATCTTCATTAACAGAAAGGTATAACTGAGTTGGAAGCAGTGAGTTTGATATTAGAACAGCTGAGTGCAGTGATGATTAACACTAAAAAGAGTGATATGAAGATGCTAGGCCTGAGATTCAGTCTTGGACTTCTGCATTGCAATAGGCCCATGCACAACCAATGAGTATCAGCACATTAACTGCTTTACAGCTTTCAACATTCACTTGACTATAATCTATAAACACATGCAAAGAAGGATTACTTGACTACTGAAAATACCTGCGAAAGTTTCATCTGCATATTGGCAAAGACATGAAGAAAGCCAACAACTGCATCCCACAGCCTACTATGGGCCAGACTCTGTTGATTACCTATGCAAGGGCCCTAAAAAAAAAATTAAGAAAAACATTTTTTATTTATATAAAACAAAACAAATAAAACAATTTGTGTTCCTAAGATTTTGCTCTGAAAAAATGAAAAAAAGAGAAACTTCAGGCTTCCATGAAGCTACATGAGAAAGCTTTCCAAGGTCTTTTTGGTATCTAGTGCATAAATACCAGATCATATCATGTTAAATATGCAACTATTCACAAGTTCTAGTGTTAACTTTGCACTGGGCCAGTGATTCCATATAACTTTATCAAAAATAAGGAAAATAAAACCAAAGTATTTAAAAATTTATGATAGGACACGAACAAGCCATGTAATCATAGAATTTCGCTGTTAGTACCTTGAGCAAAACATTTTTTTTACCTGGATATATTCCGTAAGGGAATTGAATATTTGTTTGGTGACAGCTAAAGCTTTAGAGAAGTTACGTTGTCCTGATTCATCAATTACATCCTTTCCTGAATAGTACCAATAGAAGTCACTAATTGATTCCTAAGAAAAAAAACAACGTTATATTTTCTAATTTTGGATTCTGTACGTAGTATTTACTGCCTGCATCTGTATCCCCAAAAGTTGAATCAGCAGCAGATGAAATTTAGTATGAAGTGAACAATGAAATAAATTAACAAACATCTGGTTTCACACAGAATTCTGAAAGGTCATCTATTTTAAAAGGAAAGAAGAGATAAAATAAATAAATCAGAATATTTTATTTTAGGTATCCCTAAAGAGAGGATTTTCACATTTGATTCCAGTAAAACGTGAATTTATAAAAAAAGAAGGAAAGGTAAATATATTATAGTCTATTTTCCTCTGCTTTTTCCTCACCTGAAGACGCAAGAGGTAGTCTACTGTACTAATGATAATATTCACTGTTGTGGTGTTGCCCATTTGAGTACGTAGGTAATTTTGAAAATCTGAAATAAGTGATTTTTGCTTGGTTAGTATACATAGGAGTAAAAAATACCAGGTTATTTTCATATTTTCATGGAGACATGGCGAATACATTCTTTTTAAGTACCTTGTTGGGTAGAGATGCTTATGTGGTGGAAATAGAACTACAGTGGAAATACAACTGAAGAATTGTTATCCACATGACTTGCAATAGGCTTTACTATTAATGATTGGCATGAAAACTGAAATTACATTAAGACTTAAAAATTCAAATTGAACTCTGCAATTCAAATTGTTGGCATGCCAGTTTCCCCTCAGAAAACTAAATGAATTGGAGGAAACCAACATTAGAATTGTTTCTAGTCAACTCTAAGAACAGATCCATCACACATTTTCCCCCAAATTAATTCAGTTCACTTACCATTGTTATGCCCTTCACAGAGCAGTTGTAAAAATCTAAATAGATCTCGAGTAAATTCATCATGCTGCAACACTTTTTCACCTTTAAAATATATAAATGCAATGATTATGTGACAACAGTTATGATTAAATATGCAGAACACATAATCTTACAGCAACCTTTAAAACTGGAATTCTAGTAAAAACAGTATTATAAAAGCATTAAAGCAATTTAAAAGAAACAGACTGATAATAATGAAAAGAAAAAGTGAGACAGAAAAAGCAAAGCCAAAATATTTACCACTCCAATGCATCCATGGTTTAAAAAAAAAATAAAAGAAAGAAAGAAAAACAAAGCAACAGGATATATATCTAATAAGTAAATGGTTAGTCATAACTAAAATCATGCCTTAAATATAAATAACACTTCTTTAGTAAGCATCAAACTGTTTATCCAAGCTGAACACACAACCTGCTGCAGACCATAAAGCTGAACCTAAAGGTATCTGGGAAGATGCAACGCAAGATTTCTCTCTGTATTTGCAACACGTTTTTGCAACAATAGTATCAAAAACAGTAAACCCAAACATACCACGCTCACGAACGATGACTGTGGATCAAAGAAAAATAACAAGAATACAGGATAAGAATATTGGAAGTTACAATGTTTTTCTTAAAAATTATTGCTAAAGATTTTGTAAATACAAAGCACATTCAGAACTCAAACCCTAGAATTAATTATAGTAAGTTTATTAACATAAGCCTCAAGCCACAGTAAATAACAGTTCTAGTTAAAGAAGGAAGTACAAATAATATTTTAAGCACTACTGGAATCAATTTAATTCTACTTACGAGTTCCTTCTTCAGTAACCATTCCCAGGCCTTCTGCTTTATTTTGTCTCTCAAACGCATTCAAGTCAAGAACACTTATATTGAAAAAAAACAAAACAAAACAAAACAGGAAGAAGTACTATAGTACGCAATGGAAAATTGTTTTTTTCTAGGAAATCTCTGGAGGCTTTCAACAACTAGTCTTGACCCACTGTGACCCACTCATTGCCTCATATTTTATTTAATATGAATATTAAATAGAAGATCTTGGGATAAAAATAAGGGTCCATCTCTGAAAAGAAATGAGTCTCAGGTCAGGTCTCGCCACTTAACCAAATTCACTTTCAATAATGTCATTCATGGTTTTGTGTATAAATGAAAATATTACTTTTTATATTGACTTAAACCTGCCTGCCAAAGGGACACTACTGCAGTTATTTCTCAGTCACACTGTCTTCCACTAAGTTATCACTATTGTTTCTGTTACTGTATATATTATACCTTAGTATTTTATTCAGAAGATGTATGGTATCTCTGATTCAGAAGACATATATGGAATCACAGAGTCCATACCTTCCAAGGTCAAAATACACTGATACCTGAATTTTCTTTTGCTAACTTGGCATAGCCCAGCACGTGCACCCTCAGCAAGTTTGCAAGATGACACCAAGCTGAGTGGTGCAGTTGACACACCTGAGGGACGAGATGACAACCAAAGGGACCTGGACAAGCTGGAGAGGTGGGTCCATGTGAATCTCATGAAGTTCAACAAGGGCAAATGCAAGGTCCTGCACATGGGCCAGGGTAGTCCTCATAATCAATACAACCTGGGGGATGATAGATGATAGAGAGCAGCCCTGCCAAGAAGGACTTGGGGGTACTGGTGAATGAAAAGCTGGATATGAGCCAACAGTGCGTGCTTGCAGCCCAGAAGGCCAGTTGCATCCTGGGCTGTATCAAGAGAAGCATGGCCAGCAGATCAAGAGAGATGATTCTCTCCCTCTACTCTCCTCTGGTGAGACCCCACCTGGAGTACTGTATCCAGCTCTGGAGCCCTCAATACAAGAAGGACATGGATCTGTTGGAGCTGGTCCAGAGGAGGGCCACGAAGATGATGAGGGGGGTGGAGCATGTCCCTTATGAGGACAGGCTGAGAGAGTTGGGGTTGTTCAGCCTGAAGAAGAGAAGGCTCCAGGAAGACCTTATAGCGGCCTTCCAGTACTTGAGGGGGGCCTGCAGGAAAGATGGGGAGGGACTGTTTACAAGGGCACGAAGCGATAGGACAAGGGGCAATGGTTTTAAACTAGATACGGGTAGATTTAGATTGGATATTAGGAAGAAGTTCTTTACCATAAGGGTGGTAAAGCACTGGAACAGTTTGCCCAGAGAGGTCGTGGATACCCCATCCCTAGAGGCATTCAAGATCAGGCTTGATGGGGATCTGGGCAACTGATCTAGCTAAAGACGTCCTTGCTCACTGCAGGGGGGGTGGACTAGATGTCCTTTGGAGGTCCCTTCCAGCCCAGTGCATTCTGTGATTCTATGATGATTCTTCTCACCACACAGTCAGAATACTTTCATTCAAATAGTCCAAATATAATTCTATGATTATCTCATTTTTTCAGTTAAACAGCAATGCAATCACATATTCTACTATTTAGAGATATCATTAAAAGCAAAAGCATTTTTTAAAGCATTGTTTTCATTCTCTTGTCAGTGTTCAAGTCATTTTATCAAAACCTTTTAAATGAAGTCCTGAATGATACACATATAGAATTGGTAATATCATCACTGCAGGTCCTGTTTGAGCAAGTCCTTGCTGAATTGTTCTACGTAAGTGGAAAAATTACAAGATAGATGTTATTTAAATAGACTGCAACTACTCAGCAATAACTACTGCAGTGCAGGTCACCATTCCTTCCACATTTTTTCTGTCTTCATACAGCTTCTCCACTTCTAATTCCCAGTCTATACCTTCAGAACCGTTCTGTTGCTTTAAAAGGCTGAGAAAAGGAGGTTGTCTGCTGCAAGAGTAATCAGAAACACCAACAGTTTTCCACCTTCTTTATGGGAGTCCTTTACCGTAACTAATTTGAACTTCCAGTTTATCAAGGGAATGCTCTACTATAGTCTCACCGGCCACATGCCATCTCTAATGAACCTGACACATACACAGAGGATTCAGATGAAGAGACAGAGTTTACATAACTCATCAGAAATGTGCAGAAACTGAAAGCGTAGTAAAGCTCCACTGGCCTATCTCTCCTTCAGTGATGGTTCTTCTCCATCCTTAGAACCACACAGACAGAAAACTTGAGGGATCTGGGACCAGTAAAGGAGCCATTACATATTACTTTTCTGCCTCTCCAAACTAAGCCTTCAAAGACATACACAGTCTTTGCTGCATTTTTCTCATCTGGGAGAATACTCTAAAAGATTAACACACTATGCCTCTGACTCACACATTTCCCACAACAGTTCTACAATCTGTGACTCCTGTAATTTAAATCTAACAAATCCACTTGCACTGAGCAATAAGCCACCAACCTGAATAAAACTGAGACTATAATAATATGATTTATGATTTTACCTGCAGGACTGCATCAAGCCAGAGAGACTTTGAAAAAATCCAGCATCCTTTTTCTCCTTCAGGTAGTCTAGCATTTTCTATAGAGGGTATACATTTTGGGGAAAAAAAATAAATCTATATTAAAATTATATGAATTAACAACTTCCTGAATTACCATCTGAAATGCAAATCACCGGCAAGCAATAATATCATTGTTACTGTACCAAAAATACCCTGATACTTCTTCACTGTTTAGCTTAAAATTAAATGCACTAAAACAAAAACATGACAGAACACTGAAATTCTCAAAATTACTTTCCTCCTTTATACAAGCAAGACTCATAGTAGTTAGAAAAGCATTACCTGTTGAACTATGGTATTCCCACCATTTAGAATAGCTATACCAAGTTTCAGTGTTTCAACAACCATGGGCCCTGTATGACCTGTCAAAACAAGGCTACAGTCACTAAAGCTTGCAATTACAAATGATTCAATCAGAAAAGCAGCCTGGAAATTTTACCTAGTATAGCTGTAATTGACATTTATTTTGGCTCATTATATACCATATACAAGTTGAATATGATATACGTATCATAGGTAACATGACATAACACAACATACATAGTATAGCATTGTGTCTATGATATGTATGTCATGTATACTTTTAATACTTCACAGAACATTACCTTTACTTGCACTGATCATCTGAAGGACCATCTCAGCAGCTCCACGATCATGTAAGCGAGCTTGCTGATAGAGAGTTCTCTGTTTTTCCATTTCTTTCTCCTGGGTTTGGGAACAAAAAAGAGAACAGAATACAGACTGGAACTGATTCAGGAAAAATCGGAAGATGAGAAAAACAAAGTTGTTGAAGGCCATCTGCCTCCATAATCCATGGGTTGTTTGATTCCAAAACTTCAGAACACACTGTCTTTCTTTTATGAATAACCTAGTAAGCCAGCTCAATACACTCTGTGTTATTCTTACATTTATTCTAGTGGACATGTTTAAAATACCTGCACAGTAGGTGATGAGAAAGAAATGTTATTTTAACGCTCACCTCAAATGTCTTTTCTTTTTCTTCTTCTTCCTCTTCTTCTTCTTCCTGACAGCTCTTTTATTGGTAGAAACAGAAATCACAAGATTTTGCTTATTATGAAACATAATGACTATTTTTACTATAGTATTTCTACAAAAATGACCAAAGACATTTTTTCAAGCAATAATTAAAGGCATTAAGATGATTTAAAATCCCTGTAATAGTAAATATTTGTGCTTATCCACACTAAGAAGCTGAAATTCCCTAATCTATGAGTACTTCAGGGTATTCATCCCACTACATACAAACCCTGTAACTGCAGGCTATGTGTTCTTGTGTCATATCTCTGTCTATATCCATAATATTTACCTTCACAATCAAACTCTCCTCACGTCAGCTGTAATCAATATGTTGCAAAAACTGATTGTCAACTTATTTTTGACAGACTTCAAATATTAACTGCAAAATAATTACCCAAAGAATAAAGATAATTAACACGTTAAGACTGCTCATGAGTTAATCCTGTACAAAACAAAGTGTGAAGTGATATCAACAGGATTGCACCTACTAGAATTTTATATTATTTTAATGTAGGAAATTTCTCATTACATATCTACAACTCTGAACTGTATTTGCTTCATTAAAATATAGAAATTACTAGAATCAAGCAGTCCACGTAAGAAACAGAAGGAAAAAAAAAGTATCTAAATGAATGGGAGGTACCTGAGTGGAATGAGGGATGGAGCTTGAAATGATATATTTACCTTTGCCATCATGGCAGAATAGGCAATATATAAAGGATCATCTTCTAGTTTGCTATAAAGAGTAAAAAATATTTTAAATTATTTTATGATGTAGTAATAAGATGTCATACTCCTACTAATATTTAAATACCATTTTTAGTAAAGGGCATTTTATTAAAGTAGATACACATGTCTACCTGAAATACTATTACACTTGAAAATTGTATTATAAATGTATTTCCTTCTCTCAAAAGTCTCTGTAACTTTTTAACTAAACAATTCAGAGGTATATTTGGACATCCAACTTAGTCATGTTGGATAAGTAAGGATCACTGGCTGTTGCAGGTGCAGAAAAGTATTATGGAGATATGTTAGGATAATTATAACTGTCAGATAGCAAAATTATGTTAGTCATACAGAAAAAGTATATGAAGCACCGGAGTACACTACTCATACAAAATACATATTCTAATCAACAGTCTAAATTCAAAACAGAAACTGGCACTGAGAGAGATTTGTGCTAATCATCAACGAAACTTTTTCTGACATACTGAATAAAATGTAATGAATACCACCACCACACCACACATCTATCACCAGCAAAGACCAGGGGAGGGTACTCTGAATGAACCAGCAGTTCCGGTAGACTATGTTTCTGTGAGAATTCATGCTCAGTTATTTCTGTACTGGGTATTTACCAAGCTTTTAAAATGTCAAAACCAGTCAATATTTGTCTCAATATAAAGGTTATACCAAGTTTAATACATAAAAACTCTAATGAAACTGAGAGGCAAAAACGTATTCGCCATGCACCATAATGAACTGCAGTTGTGTTAAATCACTTCCGTAACGTTACTAGAAATTCAATTACTGTCTGCTTTTACTCAATGTGCTTTTCAACACAGCTTTTTACCTTCTCTCTATGAGAGCACTGCGACTAAAGTAGAGGATAATCTGATGAAGTGGATCAGGCTGTTTTTTCTCGGTCTCTTCCTCTTCCTCTTCATCTTTTTTTGGAGGTTTCTGTCTCAAGATTTATATCAGAATATACAAATTAAGCTTCATGAGTCAGATAAAAAATTGAGTAATTAAGTTTAGGAAAGGATTTCAGTAATTTTGTTCTGTCCAATTTGTATTAACTTCCAGTATTCATCTTACTCAGCGGCTTACAGCATAACCTGCAACATTATGTGCCTATATGACTCAGGGGGAGTTAGAGTGTCTGATTATTATTCATAATTCATAGTAACATTAGAGGTTTCTCACTTGCAAGGTATTGAGAATGAGACAGTGAAAATCTTAGGGAAGCCTTATTCAGCAGAAATTATGTGTTTCCAGTGGACCAGAATTGAAAGAAAGTCCCAGCTCAATTATTTAGCAGAATAATTAGTGGTAAATGGAACTATTTTTAATAATATCATCGGATACATCCTATTCAGACTGCTGTTTGCTACAATACTTTCATATACCATTTCTAGGTAATCTTGATTCAACAAATGTAAATACTGCTCTTAGTGTCAACTTCAAACATTTTTTGGCAGTTTGAAATATAATATAGCCAGCATTGGCAAAAGAGCAGCATATCACCTTTACCGTACTTGTGTTATCATCCCTTTGTAGGGTTTGTAAATATTGTAGAATTATTGCAATTATAGTAATAATTGTAACTACAGAAGTTCAATTTACCTCTCTAGTGAATCAGAATTATGATCACTGTTTTGATTCTCATTCCTTCCTTTAGAAAAAAGGAACAAAGACTGTGACCATATAATTGTCCAGTGTATGAGAAGAATATCTAAGCTGTAATTTTTAAAAATCACACAACCTAAATTGTACAACCTTCTATACCAGTGGGTTTTAAAAAGCACAACATGACTGCTTTTGCTAACAGCGAAGTATCTCCTGATACATCTTGATGTGATCCATGAAGCTATATATTCATTTTCATGGTGTTTAGATGCTGTAGAGATAGGCCCCTTGGAAGTATTTTAGACAAACTAACTACAGAAAGGGAAGAAAAAAAGCAGTAGGCTTTCTGAATCAATATTCAGTAACAAAATGCTGAAGTTTACCATCACTTATCAAGTACACACGTAAATTAAATTTTTGCTGAATATGGCTGCATATATTTACTTCCCCTTATGATGTATCAACAAGAAAACAGCGAAATTAATTTGTATCAAAGCTGAAAATGTTAAAATTAAATATTATGCATCAACAAAATTTTAAAAAGAGGAAAAGGATCAATTGTGTCAAGCTTTAAAAAAAAACTTAAATAAAATATAGGAACATAGGAATTACCATAACGACAAAAATAGCCTAACAGTTCATCTAATCTATTTCCCTTCCCAAGAATGAGTATCACATAGTTTGTCTGAAGGCATAAACCACCTTAACGCACTTCAGTGTGCATCATGGGATGAATGTCTTTTTGACCACAGCAGAAAATGACCTTATACCTTGTAGCATAAGGATTAATGTTTTTTAAGTTTATGCATATGCATACAGTACACAAAAATTAAATATATGTTATAATAGATACATAAAATACACACTAATATGGGCACTGAAAAATATGCCCAATTGTGTCAGTACTTACAGCCAAATCCTGAACTAGTTTCTCCTCAAATGAATATTCCTCTGTTTCTATCCAATAGTTCTGATAGCCATGGAGGAAGAGGTTAATAGAACGGTGCCTGGGGGGGTTGTGAAAGTGAGATCAAGAGGGGTAACGGAACATAGTAAAACAGCTCAGGAGGTTAATGATTAGTAAGGATACGTATTTGTACAATTCTGATCCTCTGATTGGTCAGTGAAACAAAATGCAAAACATAACTAACATTTAGTGACAAATCCGCACCTACTTTTGAACATTCTTACTACTTTTTTTATACACATACGTATACATTACTTTTTGTTTTGAAGGCTTTAGGAGGGCTAATATACATTATACATGAAACTGCAGGACTGGAAGCTTAATGCAAGCATGGGAAAAATACACACTTGAACAGACTGAGAATGAGTGGGTGGGATTTACACCTACGAGATGTAAATCTAGTTTTCTAGATTTAGGACATTGAGACAGCTGAAGTTAGCCATCAACACCAAAATAATTATCAAGTGCTTTCCAGCATGTTATCTGCTGACAATCATTGCCTTCTTCCACACAGAGAAGCTTAACCTCAGCTTTTTTTCTTTCAGTTCCAAATCAGGGCAGTATTAATGTATCCTCAAAGAAGCTGGATTAGAAATACACAAAACCTGCTCTAGAAAACGACCAATTTTAGAAAACTCTTGGGCGTATTAATTGCTACGATACAGTATTCATTAATTGAACTTTCCACAGAAAATACAGCTCATGGCAATAAGACTACACATAACAAAGGCCAAACCATTCCATCTTTACATCACATTTGGGTGAAAATTTTGTTTTGAGGTGCACTACAGGACGTTACAAAGGTTGTTTCATGCAGGCTTTTCATTTGCTTTTGTCCTGCATCACTAACAAAAGCTATATAAATTGGCTGTATATACTATGACTTGTTTAAATATGCTTAATATGTTTAATTATTATTTTATAATGGAATAGCTATTGAGCCAACCTTCTAGGCTCTCCTGCTGGCACCGCTGCCATTTTATTATCAAGTTTCAAAAACTGACCAATCAGAATCCCCTGTGAAAATTGTACAAATTCATGTTTTATGATAACGTCAAATCATGGCTGGGAAGGAATAAGTGTGCGCATAAGCAAGAGGCTCTCCACAAGTTACATTACCGTTAACTTGAGTATAAGCCTGTCATACTGAGTTTTTTCATGTACTTTTTCCAGCCAAACACGTTGAAAGGTGCTCAGGAAGAAATTGCTAATTTTGTGTCTGAAGAAAAGCATATAGGTTTTCATTGAAGAAAGGCACAAGTTAAATTCAATAAAGTAGTCAGAAAGAATGTATTTGTAAACTGCGTATGAAAAATGTACAACTTCACTGTATCTATGTGCATACACAGATGACAGAATTTTTTTTACAAATTACTTTCCTTAAAACATCAAACAAAAACACATATCTCAGAGAAAACATTTATCATGTAAGACACTTTTTCAAAGCCGCGTACATTCATTAAGCACAGAACATAAAGAATTACTATTTCCTAACTCTTTTTTCCTTGGAAAGTAAAAATATTTTAAAATACAAGTCTTTCTTTTGTATCTCCAGGCACTTCTCAGAAAAGTGAGTACTTGGAATACTTTTGGTAGAAGTTAAAGTAATTTTTCTACGATTTAACAAACACCTGCACATCAATAGGTATTTCAAATTTCTGAAATACCTTACTGGAATTCCTAAAAACTGATATGTATAAGAAAGTATTTTGAAGGAAATGAGATTAGAATATGAGATTAACATTAAATTATACTGAAAGCCACCTAAATCTCCAGAAAATTTTCAAAAGAGTGAGCTCATAATTCACTAAAGGTATGAAACTTTTCTAGGATAAATGAAAGTGTACCACCATAATGTGTGCTGACAGCCCTTTAAATTAATTGATTCTAGCATCAAATTTAGAACCAACATTCCCAATTAAAGCTGCAACTAAAATGAGGAAATATTCAAGATAAGGAGAGCTGTATCTGAAACTGTTCAAAGGGATTTACATAGCTCCTAAAATTAATCATACTCCACTTGAAATAATCTCCCTACAGTTTAGAGATGTCTTAAGAACATAATGATGCAGACAGTTATAGATGCATAATAGTGTGATGCCTTATTTTCCTGTCAGAGTCCTATGATTTATCTAGAAAAAAAAATGTGTATATAAACTAACGAATTTAAAAACTTTGTTCTGCACCTACCAATTAAGCAATACACCTAGAAGTCCCTGCTCATTCATTGCAGGGGTGTTGGACCAGATGACATTTAAAGGTCCCTTCCAACCCAAACCATTCAATGATTTTATGATTCTAAGTCCAAAGTGTTTTTTCACTCTTGCCTGTTTGGAAGTGCAGACATCGCAATTATTTGCCACAAACAGTTTTATGACAGTTCATTTTTAGTCTACAAGATGAAGATTACTGGACAGTTTTGCCTCACATTCATATTTAAATTAGGAGTAAACTCCACCACAAAATCTGCCATAAAGTTTAAGAAGAACCAACCTCAATCTTTTTAATGCAGAAAAGTTTTTAATGAAAATTACAGATAATGCAAGTGTTGTACTTCAGTGAGCATTACTCTGTATTTTCTTGAAAATACAGATTCATAACCCATTTTGCTCCTTGACAAGTGTTCCATCAACCTCAAAAAGAATAAATAAAAGTGGGGGGTTTTTTAAAGGCAAAAATAAGATGAACCATTTTTATCATTTGGGTGCTCATAGATATTAAAAACATTTTAGGAATTTATAAATTCAGAATATGGTTGTAAAAAAAAGCTCACAAAAAAGTTGTACTGAAATGCGTGGTCTACATACCACTTCCTCTTGTTTTTCCAAACACAATTCTTGAAGGTGAAATGGTTGATACTAGCCAGCTTGTCCATATGTTGTACTTAAACCTTTTAATTTCCCTGGTTCTTTAAAGATTGCCTGGTGGCACTGTGATAACTTAGAGAAGTTATTATAGTCTAGAACTACTAATTTTTGTACAGGAAGGATGTGTGCTTTTTACAGCATAACTGGCTTTTTATTTGTCTTGTGCAAACCTAATATTTTTCCAATACGTTAATGGCACAGCTACAGACTGTTAGCCAACATCAAGCATGTAGATTGGCTTTAATAAAGGAATTTAAAAATGCAATGCAACTCTTCTGTTAAATACTTTGCAAACAACGTTTGAACAAAAATATTACACATGAAAGGTGAAAAAGTGCAGAAGAAGGTGAGATGCAAACTTAAAGATGTGCTTAGGCTGTATCTGAATAAAAGCACATTTGTTGAGAAGGAACAGGGTGAAGGAAATGACCCCAATGCCGGATGGTCTTGATATTCTGCTTAAAGCAATAGATGGATCCAGGCACAGGATGCACTTTATCTTGGACTTTGTGGTATCTACGTCCAACTGAAGTGAGCAGCAGAGCAACACATAAATCCAAAATATCATTCTGCACGGCTCTGCCCCAACAGCCACTTTAATGCACGTAACATTCTGATGAAGTAGCTAAAGATTGCCTCAGACAAGCTAAAGAGCATGAAGTGTTCATGCAGTAGCAGAGGAATAGCCATACAAAGTTAAAAAAAGGGAAAAGAATACAAACACAGGAGAATATAAAGTAAAAAAGAGCAACCAGTCATAGGCAAAAAAGGGACAGAAACAGCAATATTTTAACAATTTTCACAGATAACTTGAGGAACTACACAGAGTAACAGCTGACAAAAATGAAGCATTTCAGTTTTGAAGCAGTGTAATTCCTATGGTCTTTTCCCCCTCTGGTTATTTGTTGTGAAAAAAGTATTTTGCTACTGTGAGGAATTAGCTGATAACTAACCAACTCTGTTGTCTCTTAAACAAAATTACACAGACCTAACAGGCAACAAACTTGTAAATATACACATAAGCAATATTTGCACTTGGAAACGTAAACAGAAGTTCTGAAAAAATAAACCTTTAGGCCACTTACCTTGGCAGGTTGTACAACGGTGCCATTCTGAAACACGCAACAACAGCCCTTTTGCGTTGCTTTGACAGGAGCTTGTGCCAAACAGCTTTCTTTGATCTCAGTGGTTGTTCAACCTACCGGAAAACATCTAGTACATATAGTGGAAACTCTTCAACTTTTATTCAAAATTTAATTTTTAGCTAGTGGTTAATGTAGTTAGCAAATTAGAAAATGTTACAAACACTCCGCATCAAATGAAAAAAATGTTCTTTGGGGGTTTTGCTTTTCTGTTCTGAAATTAGTAAGAAAAAGTACTGGGAGCCTTACATATAGCACCTCTCAGTTTACACAGGAAAGTTGAAGATGCCAGAGTATCTTATGCGTGGGACTCCTTGGTAAAATTCCAAAATGGTTATTTTGTCTCTTTCTAACTATGCATATTCAATTGTTCATGTGAACGCATTTCTGTGTTATATCACACGTGAATGAAGTGGATTAACTTTATATGGAAAAAGTACAAATGCCTTTTTGTATTTAAATTGTATCGTTTGAATGAACAGACAACCGATTCAAAAGTTGCTACAGTATCCTTAGGTGCAGAAATAGGAAACGCGCAAATACCAGTATATTAAAAATAAGTGCACATACAAACATCTTTTCCTAAAATTACAGTTTTCAGCTACTGAATGGTGATTTGTATACTATACTTCTTGCGACTGTCCACAAAGTTCTGCAGAGGCAAATACATCCTGAGTTTTCCCTGAAGCTAAACTGAGGCACTTCAACAGGTTTCATGAAAAACTTTGCACATATACACATCTGTATGTGCGTGTGTAGTGTGCATGCCCGCAAAAATAATTTTTATACGGAAACTTTAATAATGACACTCACTGAAGTAAAAATAATCTCTACATGGAAAAAAAACCTCATGCTACTTTAAGACAAACACATTATAGATATTTAACTTTACCTGTTCCAGATGATACAGAGCAGCTGATATCCTCTGCACACGTTCCACATTTCTCTCAGGGTCAGTAGGTTCATCACTCTTCAAAATGTCTTTGTATAGATTTAACTGCCATTTCACAGCTGGATCATCAGACTAAAAACCAACATATTTCATACGTAAGCTGCTGAATGAAGATACTGAATTTGACCACTACCACTATCATTATCACAGTATAATAAAGAAAGTTACAGATACTTCCACTTCACCTGTCCCTGTTTAGTCAAAAATACCATCTGCTAGCTGTTCAGAAAAATGGCATTAGATCCTCTATAACTGTTGGGTAACTGATCTCAATTCTTAAGCAAGGTTCTATATTTTTGTTTCATGAAACCAAATAAAGCACCCTGCGACTTCTGTATCACATTTAACTGCATTAAAAATAAGGAAGGACGTTTAGTACTGGGATTGCATTTAACTCCTTGCAGGACTTCTGTACCGACAGTGGAAAGCTGTTTTACGGAGTCTATAAAAGACAGCTGGAATTTCAGTAGGTGAAGAGTTAAAGCCAAAGGTTTTGGGTTTTTTTGCAAGGCAGAAATAGAAAAAAAACACATTAGAATTACTTAGTGTGCCAAATTTAAATTTATGTAAGCGCAGATTTATAGCAACCAGACAGTCATCTCCCATGGCAGATAAATGAGTTACTCCTATTATGTTCAAAGACTGCAGGCAATGATCTAAATTATTATTTACAGAATGATAAGGACTCCATTTTGGTATCACCTTTGACAGCATATTCAGCATATAAATAGTAGGAACATAAGTGTGCTTGTGAAACTCTTAAGAATTAAGATGACACATTTTTTCCTATTTTATCACAGTCACTTTAAATGGCATATATTCTTAGAAATACTGCTTTAACATTACTGCAAGATAAGTTGGAGAAGGGAAGCTGAAATACTATAGCTTTAATTTTATTTTCTTCTTGGATAGAGTTGAATCTAAATAAATGTAACTTTAAAACTACCAATATCTCAACTCTTTACACATCTCCCATTCCATAGGGTTTCCTGAAACTTGAAAATAGGAGCCAAAGCTACAAACAAACAATTATTGTCACGAAAAAATTATGAAAACATTAAAATGGCAATTTTTCCTAATAATTTTCACATTCTCTTTTATTTTTTTTACATATCATGATAAAAACAATTGTGACTTCTGTGTTTTAAAAGATCTGTTTAAGATATAGGGTTTTTTACCTTTTCCTGCAAATGTAAGTTGTTACGTAAATGTTCTTTGACTTCATCATCAGTGTCCCTCTGCAGAAAGGTAAAAGTACTTTTCAATTCAGATTATGATTCATCTCAAAAGAACATGTACAACATAGAACAGCTGTTATTTAAATATTGAAATTTAACCTCTTGTTTTCAAACTACGTAAATTACCACAAGGGCATGGGACAAAGGCTTTCTTTAATTTCAACCTCAAAACAAGGATTAAACTTTGAAGAGAATTAAAGCTAACACAGTATTTCAGTATTTGGTCCAAATGAATATGCATATGTGAAACTGTACATCGCATACAAATGTAAAATGATGTGGAAATCATGGCAGCTGTCTATACACATCACTTTTTCTTGTGAAAACACAATTAGCAGCTACAACTTACAGCACGTTGATATATTTATTTATATTGACTGCTTAGACATCTATGCCTCAAAGTTTAAAGTTCTGCTTATTTTGCATTGAAAACTCTTACAAAGTATACACTTACATGGCTGTATCTAATCTTAGCCAAAGAGATGAGCTCTTGATCTCCAGGAGTACACATATTCAAACCAATAGGAAGCATCTTTTTAAGTGCAGCTACAATCAAGGATGTTTGTATGGAGTACAAATCTCCTCTACGTTTTGATTTCTTTCTCTCTTGATCTTGTCCTCCAGACTATAATTAAAAAAATAGAACAGTAAATGACTGTAATTCTCTGGTCACACACTCTTCCAACACACTCTTCCCCTAATGGTCCAAGGAAACTACGTTCCCGATGTAGTACAATTAATTAAAAATGCCACATTAGAGGAAGGCTGTAGAGTCTTCAGCTGGAAATGGTGCATGCCAATGCAGAAATTGCAATAACAGTAAAATTTTAATAGCAGTAATATACTTTTGTGTGCATTCACATATATGAATGTAACTATATTTTCTGGATGTTACCTCTCAAATCAGAAACAACCCTAAAATTAAAAGCTGTCAGTCTCAGAGGACACTATGACTTCTCAATATTACAGAGACAAATTCAGAATGTTTACATTTATGTTAACTTACATAAAAAAAGAAACTTACATAAAGATGGTCATTCAGGGTCTGAATGAATGAATGAATGAATATTTTTCTGATTTGTCTCAACTGAAAAATAACAGTATCTAAAAGGCTTTGATCAAATGCAATATAATACCAAGAATTAGTGCCTCTGGGAAAAGCATTGCCCTTTGGATTTGGCTAATACAAGTATCTCTGGGATGAAAAATTAATTCCTTTGTATCTCTGGATCATCATGTGTAATAGGAAAAGGAAAACAAAAGAGACAGAAAAGTAAACAGCACAACAGAATAACATCTGCCCTATCTTCTTACAACAGACACTGTACAACAATATTTCACGCACAACTTTTCATTTATGAGACAGCGAATCAAAATCTTTAGACTAGGCCCATATATTTAATGAACATATGGTAAACAATAACATAAAAATAGCCCAGTTCTGAATTCCGTATCTAGATTAAACTCCTGCTACACTCAAGGGGAGTTTTGTCTAAGATAAGATTTCAGGACTAGGCCTCCAGGCTTATACAACACCACAAAAGAGCCAATGCTTGCATTCAACCCTCCACATCCTTTTCCCTCTGTCAATAAGTTTTACTCACTACTGTTTTTATAACACGTGGTGTAGTTCCACATAAGAATACAGCAGAATCCATTGCAATTCATTATTTACCAATTGTTACCATGCTATTAACATAGTAATCACTGGAAGAAGAAAAGGCAGGCATATGTATTCTACTCAGTGGTGAATTTTGGCAAATTCTGTCTTCTACATGATGAATCTCTGTGTACGCAGTTGATGTTGAGCATTTTGCAGGTCAGAGGGAACACACAATGGATGTGGCTTCCTTTCTTAAGGAACTAACAATTGCAAGAGAGTACTTTGCCTCAAAGCTTTGCTTTTGGAAGTGCCTTAGAAATAGCAGTGATGTAATGGCTACAATAATGACATTATTTGTACTCTACGTTGACAGCAGACAAACAAATCCCACAATGTATCACTGTATTCCAGTGGCGTCACCATGCATCTTAAATAAGGAATAACAAAATATATAACAGATATATTAAAAAAAATTAAAAAAAAGGAAAAGGAGGAAAGATGCTGGTTCACTTTTCTGCGTCTTTTTGATTGAGGATATTTTCACATCCAATTTTCTTTATTTTCATTTGAGCTTAATAACTAGGTATGAACAAAACAGGTGAACCTTAAATACTGAACATTTTTAAAACATGAAAAGAAGATCCATTCTGCCTGTGCCATCAAATTCTGCTGTCTGTGAATTCACAGCTCCTGCTGCTAAATGTGTAACTAGAGTCAGAAACAGAAACCTAAATGACAATGAAATTATGTGTCTTTCAGTTCTAATATGCACCTATATTAGTAAACACGATACCTTAATTTCATATGTAAAAAGCATCACATTGCATGTATTTTGTCTAAATAATTAACTGTGCTAAAAGGACCTCAACAAGAAGAGTGATATAATCTGGTTGCCTAACAGCACATAATGGTCTTTCTTGTCTGAGGATTTCAACACATAAGTAGACATTTCATCAACAAACATATACAGAAAAAGATTTACAGATTGTCCAGTAGATTCATAATAACTAAATATACAATCAAAAAGAAGAAAGAATTTATTTATACTAAAAAAAAATCAGCTAAAACTGGTTAAGGTGACGGAATTAGTATTTTTAGTATTTCCAACCCTCCTTAAACCTTCAGTTCTCTCTCACTCATTAAATCCTACTCTATATACCTGCGGAAGTTTGACAATAGCAAAGCGTGAAATCAGGTCTATTAGTTTAACACAACTGCTCAATTTTTAACTTATGCCTCCGATATAATTAATGAAAAATCTTCACAGCATCAGGTGTGCTCAGCACACAGTGTGAAGTGAAAGATGAAAGGGTTTTATGCTCCATTTTGCTGTTCATTCTGCTTCACCAATGAAGAACACACCATAGGTTGAAAAGTACTGGCTGATACTAGAAATTCATTATTTTGAAAAGATAATATGAATGATGCAAAGGAAGGTGAACTATGGTTCACTGGAGATGAAGAAAGCTTTGACTACATTAAACACATAAAAGAAACAACTATTATTCAAAAGCTTTGTCACACCTCACATCTTTATTAAAGATCATTTTATATTGGAAAAAAGGTAAGATTTGAACTCTGTATCTTATTTAAACTTACTGGTTCTAATACAACCTTCTACTCATCTACAGATGAGTACAGGTTATAGCACATTTCTCCCATATATCCTCCTTGAATGTCCGAAGTCAAATACATGTTTCTGATGACTCTATTTAGGCATTGCTTTTACAATGTCTGCTTCAATGTATCAGCAAAAAAAATCAGAACGCAGAAAGACAGCAGAGGCGGAATGTACATCTAAAATAATTACAAAAGGTAACTTTACTACATTTTCACATTAAGCAACACGTGGGAGTGCCAAAGGGAATTTCAGTCAAATACTGCCACTTTATCACGGAGAAAATTTATAGTAGGTGGAACCTGGGCCTTCACTTTGTGACGCCACTGCTATGATCAATGGAAAGAATGCTTGGAGCCCAATCATCTCTAAATCTAAAACAAAGACACATCATGCACTTTGACCTGTACCTTTACTTGCATGGCCTGTATGAAGGAAAAATAAAGGGGAAAAAACATAAGTAAAAGAGATGAAAAGATGATTAATTTTCAAGTTAGTAATAAACTTACTCAGCTTTATCAGGACAATAAAAATGTTAGAAGTTCGTAGCTAAAACAATAGTCTGTAAATGTATAATCAAATGAGATCTTAGTGAAATAATTTTTATGCAGCTTAATCATTATTAAATGATTGAACTTATTTATTTATGAATTTATCTGTCACTATTCAGCACTACCATTTGTTGCTTCAGCACATAACGAAGCACATCTAGTAATTCAGCACACCAATATACTAATTACTGCATTGTTTCCCAGTATTGTTAAAAGGATAAAGGTGTCTGGAACTCTCGATAGTCCAATAATGAAAAATCTTCACATTTTCACCAAAATAGCTCTTTCTACCTCTATTCTCCACCAAAATACGACTGAGAAAACTTATGTTTAGAAATGGAAATCAAACTATCACTGTGAAGATGCAGCATTTCATTTATAGATGCATTTTCCAGTTGCATATCTCATTACTGTTTTGAAGACAGCCTGAGAGAAACCATGACATAAGCTCGTATCTCTCAGCAGTACCCATTTTGAGAACAGTATCATAAACTCAACTGTAACTCTCGTACTTACACAGTTTTTTTCCTGTTTATTATGTTAATACCATAAATACACTTAAATAAACATATATAACATAGTCAACACTGTATTATCATTGTATCAGGCAATCCTAAGAAGATAACAACAAAACCATGTGGTTATGGTAAAATCGCAAAAAAATTCAACTGTTACTCAAAAGAATCCTTGACCAGGCATGGGAAAATACTATAGAAAAATGTTGGTTAAAAACAAACAGAAAAAAACATAAACACAAACAAGCCCCCCTTCTGTGACCACTCTAATTGTAACTTTGTTTTCTTGTGATACTTGAATTAGCCTCAAAATGTTGAAGCCAAGCTATTATTAAAATCTCTTGTTATGTTCTCTATGTTTATATCACATAGTGAAGAAAACGAGCTACAAGTCAAGAAAGACTGAAAGGCTAATCATCAAATGAAGTGTTAAGCACCTTAGAATCTTCATTACCTTACTCAAACAAATAGCAAATTTTAATTGAAAATTTCAATAGCATGAAATATGAAGATGCTGCACAGACATGGCTCAGTGGATATACACTGAAGGTAAGTAAAGACAAGACGTCAATTATATTTCACTTATTAGAGCTGACCATAAAAGTATTCCACTCATGATTTACCATAGTGTAGCTAAAGGAAATGTATCCTATGCAATTGAAATAGTCTCTAAGAAAAGATATAAAATTCTTGCAGAAAATACTAACCTGAAACCCTCTAGTTACCGTACATTTGCAAATAATATGTATTACATATTACAAACGGGCACAAACCACAGCATTGTTTCGTAATACAAACTTGGATTTTATGACTGCCTCAAAGTTCTATAACAGGTTTCTCCAAATGCCTTTTAAAAATAGATACAAAATAATTAATGAGGGCCAGTCAAATAAAACTTCAGTACGATATGCAGGTGTTTAGCAACTGAGGTTATATACCCAGCCACACAGTTATTTACATTCCAAAACTTACACAGAAAAATTGCCCACATATGTATTACACATTTATTATGTACACGCAAATGTATATGTTTAGTCTTTTATACCAATTAACTGTAAAACACAATAGGACATCATTGCATCTTAATCAAAATGCTATTTTATCAACACAGCTATGAAGGGTTCAAAAATAACAGATTAGTGGAGTTGAATGTTAAAATTCTCCATTTCAACACCTTGATCACAAATCTGTTATTTCAGTGCAATCTAAATTACCAGTCTCTCTCAGACTGTAAATTCTCTAACTTACCATTCCCCTCCGAGCAATCTGCTGCCATTTTTTTAGAAAAGAAAAATTAAAAAAACTTGCTCAGCTGTTAATACATTTATTTGAGAAAATAGTAACAAAGTTAATATATAATCAAAATACAATGGGTACTTAATCAATTTATTGATTGTAATGATGAACCATTTGTTACCACTGCTATTAGCTACTGATAAATAATGTAATCCTCAGCCTTCATCCTCTGCATATTTTTTTTTTCTGCATATGGCATACAAAGATGTCGAACCCTCCATACATGATATATCACACCTTACACACTAGTACTATCACAGTATCTTGTATCTTAGGAAAAATACATCTCTGTTCTAAGAAAGACAGTTCTCTAAAGCAGTCCGTGATCAGCATGGAGCCTTACTCATATAAGAGACCCCAAACTGTTCTGTCTTGGGCCAACATTTATATTCACTGTTATCTACACATTCTCATGCTTGATAAATACTGGATATGATTGCTTCCACTAAAAACAATGTGAATAAAGAGGAGCTGGTGATGAAGAACTAAGTGCTAATTATTCTGCTAGCATACTACTCGCTGAGCTGAATGTTAATATTAAAGCAAGAAATTAGAAAAATAATCTTCCCTAATGTAATATCCTCTACTGATTATTCTCTGAGGATATAAGTAAGTATCAAACCTTGTAAGAAACCCTGAAATTCAGTTACTTAGAGGATTTGTTTATTCTAAACTATGCAGTCTTAAATATTCAATGAATGTGCTTACATTATGTATTATGAATTGTTATCAATTTCCTGCTTAGAAATGATATGCAGAAAACCAACACAACATTTAAAAGATGCCTCATGTATTGTATCACGGTATTTAGGCTATCATGAAACAAATACCTATCTAAATGAGCAGCTGTTCTACAATCACTCCTGCAGATATGGTACCATATCAATAAAATACTATGTCATAAACAATATAATCTTTTATTACTTCCTATATTAGCAATAACATTGTACAGTGTCCTTGAATGGTATGATTTGATATCAATATGCTTACAGAAAATAATATGCACAGAAAAAGTTTATAATCTCTCTGCATTGTATACCCATATGAAGAAAAGTGCATTTACACACACATCTACATCCCTGTTATGTATAAATATATTTATACAAGTATTTATACTTAATATATCTGTATATTTAAAATATATACATCAGGCATTTGAAATGTGATCTCAAAATCAGAATCTTTCAAATTTGGGTTGTAAAGATTCTCAATCTTAAATTCTTGTGATTTTATCCAAATTGGAGCAACATGAGCAATACCTATTTTTTATTTTGTAAAGAATTGCTTTGTCATTTCTTCCATGCCAGACTGACCAAAAAATGACACTAATAGTTTACATCATATTATCCTATTATCAATACTGCAGTGAGACACAATTTAAATTAAATATGAATCACCTGATTCTAATCTATCGTGTATTTTAAAAAAGTACACCTAATTCTTGGCTCCTCAGGCCCATTCTAACATATAAATGTTGAATTATATGTACTGGATGTATGTGCAGCGATTGCCATATCATAAAAGTACAGAGATACGTGGTAGACTCTATTACTGTGCAGTTGATCATCAAATAGCCTGGGACTGTGCTCCCTACTCATCTCACTAATGAGGATAACACAAACTTTTCAGTTCTATCACACAATTTTAAGGAGCTGCATTTTGAAAACACATTAAAAGAAACACATTAAAAATTTCTTTTTCTCCAAATATGAAATTATCTGTATAGTTTGAATTGCTGTTCGGTGCCAGTCATGAACTAATGACAAGAAGAAAGTTTGTTATTTTAGCTTGTAAAATTTCCAATATCAGGTTTTGACTTAACCAAGTTTCAGAACTTTAAAAAATGTAATAGAAATGCAGCAAATGATTTTTAAGAGACTTAAGAACGGTAACAACACATTTTATCTGACTCTCGTCTAAAGTTGGACGTCACAGTAGCTAGGTTACAGGCAATCAAAATATAGCAAAACACAAAACAATAAACCCCACCACTTCTCTGGAACACTTTCAAAATAGGATTACTCCAAACACATTACAAATATGAATAAAACAAAAGGGTTCTTTGCTGCATTTACCAACAGTAATTTGGAATTAGATTTCAACTGGCTTTAGTTGAGTAAGGCAATCTTCCTCAGCTAATGTCAAAGCAGCATTCTTTACCTTGACAACATGCATTTCCTCTATTATACAGGTAACAAACGTACTTTCCAGCCATCATGTCGGCATCTTGTCATATTGAAAATGAGCAAAAGAAATGAATGTGGTCATTAATAAGAAACAAGAAAAACAGTGCACATGTGGCACGCTATATGTATGACTAAAGAGGTATATACAAAGACAGCACTCTTCCACCGATGTTGACAGAACAATACTGATTGACATTCAAAAGAAAAAGATCAGGTAACCAATGCTTCTTCATTTTTATAAAATAGTCTACTTTTTTTTTCCCTGAAAGATCAAAACTCATATTATATATTACAACCATATTGTCTTATACGTGTGACTTGCTCAAATCAAGACCTTTACTTCAATCTTGTGTCTTTGACTACTTAGCAGACATATAATAAGCAACTCTAAGGTACATATCCTCTATTTTGCATGGTAGTCGTGATGTCTATCATCAAGAAGCAAAACTAGTTTTTGTTTCTTCTACCAGCACAGCAGCTGCACTCTGAGTAGATTATCAAACCCTTCTTACAACATACTAAACACATGCTGAAGATTTAACCGATCCACAAATTTTTATTAACTTACTTTAGACATCTTGCTCTTGGTGTCTCCTGTTAAAAATGCCAAATTGTTGATTTCATTCTGAATCACAAAATTTTGTTCTTCTCTTTTGAAATTCTAAAGATGAAAAAAAAAAATCACCGGAAGTTTTAATTCATCTGCATGTATCACATTTATACTTAAAGAGAATGAAATGGAAGAAAAAGTATACATCTTATCTTACATGTGATTTACACCACAGGATAAAAACTTCAGCTACCATTCGAAAGAGTTCATCAGAATCTGCATCTGGTTTCTTTAGCCAATTGGCTCTATTTAGAAAAAACAAGAGAAATTTAAAATAAGACATTTAAAATACATAACTGAATATAACAATCTCTATTTAATAGATCGGGTTACATTTGTATAGTTAATCTTGGAATTTAATGAGAATCACTTCCATTGTCCATGAACATGGTTAGAGACACCATTTTTCGTGGCAGTTTAACTTGTCTCCAAGAAAACTAATTCTTGGCTACTTATTTCTGCCTGCTCATCCTCCCCATGGTGCCAACACATGGTTTTGTGTCTATTCTGTGAACCAGACTCAAATCCAGACCTGACTGCAAAGCAAAAGTCTTTCTCTGAGTATTTCCCATATTTTTTCTTTCCCCCATAATAAAACTATGTTATGAAAACTTTGTGTTGATCTGAAAGAGAACACTACAATGGGGAGAGGAGGAAAAGCACAGGGAAATGAATGAGTGGGTAGAGCTGTATGGACTGACAGCTTCAGTTGGTTTATTTGTGTAATCGAGGAACTAATACAACTTCAGTCCGGGTCTGTCTGCACAAGGATGCTCATAAAACTTGGACAAATGAAGATGCTTGCACAGATGCAGCCCTCTTAAATGTCTCTAAACTAAAATGCATTAATATGACCATACTAAAGTGGGTATCTGACAGCAGACATGGAAGGAATTATGTTATAACTTATGCTCATTAACTCTATTTTTCTAATCGGATTTTTCCACAGCCCAGTTAAATCTGTGCTTTTTAAAAATTTGAAGTGTTTCCTTGCCAACAAGGCCTTATATAGTAAAGCCTCGAGTTCATCTAGAAAATGCAAATAATTCTGAGTGTAAATTTGTTTACAGCATAAATGATCATGTATGCAATGAAAAAGTTCCTAACTAGCCCAATATGTACTTATACCTAAAAAATATAACAGGACAATGAATGTGTACAGAACAAATGCTATTAAGAATAGGATTAAGATACTCTAGATACTGAGATACTATAGATACTTCAGACACTCTTCTGAAGAGCATCTTGGGATCATGTTCTGGGACAAAGGAAAGGGAAAGTGTGGGCACAGAATAATCCTTCAGTAAATGGTTGAGGAGAAAAACTTCTGGTAATTCAAAAGCAATACAATGTTGTCGAAACACATTTTATCTCTGTCTTAAAAAAAAACAACACAAAAGATTAACATCTTTATGGTATTATCTACAAATAGAATGATTCAGATGATGCAAAATAGTTTGTCACCCCTTCATTAACAGTTAAGGGTCTTAGCCATTTTTTAATTTTTGAAAGGCCTATTCATTTGTAATGCCATGGGGCTGCACTAGCGTATATAACAAGTCTGGTCAGATATGCATACTCAATGGTAACAGTGCAGTTACAATACAAACAAGTAAGCCAAATGCATGTGAGAAAAAGGTCTGAATTCAAGGTACATCACACTATAAGTTAAGGAGCTTAAAATACTCAGGATCTGATTCTCAGAATAACATTAAAAGCATTGCGTTCTTTCTGATTACCTGATCATGGACTCCAGTATATTAACTAATAAATATGAGTTTAATTATTAGTTTTTATTTACCTGTTGTTGTCTACATAACGTATCAACATTGGATAGAAGGCGTAAAGGTCTCTACAAAGAACAGCAAACTCATCAAGAATGAGTAGCTCAGCTTCCTGGGTGTCAGTTTTACTATCTGCTCTCAATTGCTCCTCTTCCATCACGATCTTTATAGCTTTCTTTTTCAGTTTCTCCAGTGTTGGAATAAAATGAGTTTTAAGCAGATCAGGCCTGGCTTTGCTGATGATGGGTTGAGCATAAACTATACATAAAAATATAAATAATACTACGATTAATGCACAGTTGATGTCTTTCATCATATTAATATGAACGCTGCGGTTCTAGAAAACATAAAGGTCATAGCGCTTCACATATTTCTGGACCATCATAAAATTATTAATGAAACTATGAACATAGCTTTGTAACAACTGTATGTATTGAGAGATTAAAAGTTAGTTAATGTGAATTCAGATTATAAGTATTTCAGTCTTACATCAATTAAACTACCATGGTTTTGGCAAGTCACTTGTCTCTAACTTAGAATCTAAACAACGTAGGGATTGAGACACAAAGACCTCACGAAAATACTGTTGGGATTTTGTGTGTGTGTGTGTTTTTGTACACAATGTCAGAAAATAGTCAGAAGACAGTGTTCTGGAAGAATTCTTTTATGTCTTTTGCCTTGGGCAAGCTAAAATGCAAAGAATGAATGACTAATTCAAGATCATAGATCTATTTTGTAGAAGCATTAGTAATAAATCGCAGACAACCTGAGTAAAAAATCCTTGCAAGACCCATACCACATTATCTCCTTATGTAGATAAGCAGCCACTACAAAACTGCAAGCAGTGGTCTCTACAATTTAGCAGCAAACTTCTTACTAAATTTTAGTGGAATCCTTATTATTATTATTAAAGACCTTCAGTATTTAAAATAACACTGAAAACTCAGTACCAATGAGGCACTAAAATGTAGCAGGAAATTATTATCTTTACACAGATTTTCTTGAACCACTTTACTGGATATTATACTTTTACACTGTTTTTAAGATGGGTGATAAAATTTGGACACAGTAAATTTCTTTAGCTAGCTAGCTACTAAATGTTACAGGACATAATAGCTGACAGTCTTGAAAATCAATGGAATTCACAACTCCATATTAAATGCTAAGGCAAAATTTTATATAGTGCATACAGAAGGTAACTTTGTCAAAATCCATTATGTTTTATAGAAAGCTCTCTGCTTATAGCAATGCTACAATGCATGCATAAAAATAAAAATAAAAACATTAAAAAATTAAAATAGCTTTCTTTTATTGTTACTTATTTACTCTTTATCTTTCTTTCCTGCTGTTTTTTATATCAATCCCGCTGATTATTATATCATTGGGTAATACAGTAAAGTGTAGCGACGTAATTAAATATTATTAAGTACAACTACTCTTTAAAAATATTTACAGTACCTGCAATTCTTTTCATCCAAGATGCTTCATCTATTCCCAGATTGTTGTTAATGATTTTCAGAATGTTTCCAAGAATGATGCTCAGATGCTCAGATGTTACCATTGTACAGCAAGGCCCAGTACTTTGAGGAATGCTCTCAGACCCTCTTTCCCACCAGTAGGATAAATAGTTGCACAGCATAGGTAAGATAACCTCAATTACATGAGGCATTTCAGTATACCTTGCTCCAGACTCTGCTAAATCATTAATTTCCTTTATTAGTCCATCCAACTGAGGGATCTCTGGACACATCTCTTCTACTGTATCAGGCATACCTAAAACTGCAAGTAAGGGTAGAAAAGCAAAAGATTAATTAACAAAATAAAAGACATCTATGTTCATTTATGTTTAAAACCTAAATAGAAGTAACATTGTCACTCAGGTTCTTTTCTGTTACCATCTTGACAGACACAACTATAGTAAGACTTTGGGGTATACGTGAGTCTCTCATCTCATAAATTATGTCTTTCTGATGATGTGCATGCAGCACTGATACAGACAATAGCTGCGGTAAAGTCATGGCTTTACCATAAGATGTCCTGCAGTTATCTGGTGAGCAGCTCAGCTGTGTAAAAGTGCAGAACTAAGAGCTTATATCAATACTGGATCAACTCTGGCCATTGTTTCCATAATCACTCACAACTTTCACAGCAATTTGCAAAAGATTAAATCCACCTCAGGGAAAAGGAAACAAATTTCTCAAAATTACGGGTGAGATTAAAATTAAACTGTGACTAGTTCATGAAATCTGCACATCTATCTCCCAACAAAAATAGCAGGTAAGAATTCCAGTTGTCAGATACTTGTATTAGAAACTAAAGGGTGCCTACTCAGCAACTAACAACCCATCATAATCTAATGCCGGTCACTCTAGCAAGATTCTTCTTCCACCACTCCTGCTTTTATAAAGCAGAGCTGCAGGAGGGAAGGGCTAGCACTAGCTTTTCCATAACTGCTTTTTATATGGAAAAACTTATGAAGCATATGGAATGGATCCACCTATATTTTTGCTGTTGTTGTTTAAAGGAAGAATGATTTTGGTAGGTAATGAGGAAAATACTGAAATATTTTAAGATATGAGAGTCCATCAAGACTAAGTCAGGAAAGAAGCAAGCGAAGAAAATCTATAGAGAAAGACTCATGCTCCTTTGATTAAGGTTTCATGGAATCAAAGTCATATTCTGTCAGGAGTTCCCTATACCAAACTGCATTGGAGTACTGGTAAAACAACAAAAATCATATAGACAATTTTCCTATTCACATCAATAAGATACTACACTTCTTGCATGTTGCTAGTAAGAACACAACTGTACAATTTGCTAAAAAATTTTGGTTTTGCAGATGCAGATATGATCTTTGACTAAGCTTCAAATATTGTAGTATGCAGCTTCAGAAACATCATGTTCAGAAAAATATCTAAATACGCTAAGAGTAAGGGAACAACGTTAACACAGTCTCAACAAAGCAGACCAAGGCTGAAATGACAAGTAATGAACACTATGAGTTCCCTACTGAGGCACAATCATTATCATGATTTCTTTCTATTACTATTATTTGAAGAGAAGCAAACACCTTTTTTTTTTCTTCCCACAAGGAACAGTACTTACTTGCTCTTTCTCTGGCACTTTTTGTGTTGAAGACAGACAAGGGGTTGTAATGGTTGAGAGATGGTTCAAGGAATGCTACTGGAATGGCTGCTGCAAGAGATGCTAAGCACTCACCAAGTGCAGGACGTTGCCTGTATGAGACACACAAAGTTACCTGAGAGGAAAAGTCTTTCACTAGGCTTTCAAAGTCTAGCATGCATTATAAAGCAGCATTAACATTAACTGCTGATTTAGTTTATCTTCTTAATACATTAGAAACTATTTGACAATTTTGAAAAATTGTATTTCTCACATGAGCAAAATTACTGGAAGTCACAGTAGTATAAGAAACACAGGTTTTGAAAAAAAAACCAAACACCCTCCACCAAGTATTGTATGTTACATGTAAACTGCTCCACAGTGCAACTGTGCAACTACAAACGACAGGAAACATGTCTAGAATATGCACAAAGAATAATTAGTAACTGCATATTCTTATTATACCCTTGGTTTGCTTTAACAAGCAGCAAATGCTTGCAGTAGGAATTTGCTTTGGCAGCCATACCCCTTTTCAAGAATTCACTTCTTTTCTGTATATACATTTATTTTGCTTCACACATTATACCATTTACATAGTCAAATAGTGAGAAACAGCACCGCTACTTATTGAAGACTGAGTTAGTGACTTTATGGCATTCTGTATGGTGTGTTCTGAAAGGGGCAATTCTGCATTCCCCCACACAGCCTTCCCATGTTCCTATTTGTATGTTCTGGGCTAGCACTAAAACTCAAGATAGCAACTTGGTAAGCTGGATGAATGAACTGCTCCAGCTAAAAATAAACCTCACCATAAAACCAAAACTAACCAAGCCAAACCAACAGCAACAAAACATGCTCATCATCTGGCTGCATAAACACTATTTACCAGAAAAAAAGAAAGGGGCGGAAATGCACAGATGAAGGCGTAAGACATGCTGAGACAATTCTTTTCAGCATAATTCCAGACTCACATTGGCTTAAAACTGAAGCTAAGGTACACTTTTGAAGTTCTGAAGCACTGTTCATACAAGATGCCTTGAAGATTTTGTTACCCTTGACATACAGATTGGATAAAGATAGCACACCCCCTTCCATTCTTTGAAGCTCCATGGCTTTTTTGGAATAGACGTGGACCTGCTCGAGCGGGTCCAGAGGAGGGCCACAGAAATGATCAGAGGGTTGAAGCACCTCTCCTGTGAAGAAAGGCTGAGAGAGTTCGAGTTGTTCAGCCTGGAGAAGAGAAGGCTCCAGGGAGACCTTACTGCAGCCTTTCAGTAAAGGGGGTTTATAAGAAAGATGGAGGCAATCTTTTTAGCAGGGCCTGCTGCGATAGGACAAGGAGTAATGGTTTCAAACTAAAAGAGGGCAGATTTAGACTCGATATAAGAAAGAAATTCTTTACAATGAGGATGGTGAAGGACTGGCACAAGCTGCCCAGAGAGGTGGTAGATGCCCCTTCCCTGGAAACATTCAAGGTCAAGTTGGACAGGGCTCTGAGCAACATGATCTAACTAAAGATGTTCCTGCTCATTGCAGGGGAGTTGGGCCAGATGACCTCTAAAGGTCCCTTCCAGCCCAAACTACTCTATGATTCTATGATTGTTCAACTTCCAGGAATAACAACAATCTTTTTAAAGATTCCTTTGTGTCAAGAAAGCCTTCCTCATTGTATGACTTAAAGATTGTGACCCATCTACTACCTCATCTTCAACTGCCTATGTCAATTTTTATTTCACAGCCATGCCGGAATGTGAAGAGGCATGCAACTATATACCCTCCAACTTCTTTTGTTGCAGGAGAAACAAAAGAAATTGGTAAAAGCAATGGCCTTACAGAATTGAAAAACTTTATAAAAAGGATTTTTGTTCACCTGGGTATTTCATATAACATGATTCACATAATATTACTCTATTTCAAGAGTGAATGCTCATTCATTCTCTGTACTGCCACGAAAGAAATGGAAAATGCAGAAATCAATTACCATGAAATTAAAAAGAAACTATGTGCTCCACCTATATATCCATGTCATTTTCCTTACATTCTGACCATCCATAATAGTGTACATTGTGCAACAGAAAACATGATGCATTAGTATCACAGATAGCAACCAAAGAACTTTTCATTAAAAAAATTTTGGTAATGTTAGAATTCTTACTACATTTTAGAGCACAGCAATGTCCTCTTCCAATTTAAATTTTAATGAAAGTTGCAATATTATATATATATAGGAGATTTCATAAATTTTCCTAAGAAGAAAACTTTATTACATCTTTGCCTTCTGTTGGATCAAGAAGAAAAAAATTAGTCTGTGTATATATGTATGTACACAAATGCATATTAAAAAGTAGTTTGAAAAGACTAACATCAAATGCACTGAGGCTACTTAATCACATGTATGACATCATCATAATGTGTATCCACCTTTCTATATGAAAGGAGGATACCGACAAGCCAAAAGAAGAGAATGTGAACAATTATACAACAAGGTTAAGAAAATTACTTTACAAACACAGATATTTTACATCATGTGCAAGTCCTAAATATGAGAAACCAAAGCAATGACTATAGCTTTGCAGAATGGAAATTAGAAAAGATAAAAATAATTTCAGAGCAGATAGTCACTGACATAAAAAGCAAATAATGTAAAATAAATCACTCAGGGAACTGAGCAGTTCAATGGAACTTACTAATTTAGACAAAATATGTAAGAAAGACAAATAACTGAAAACATTAGCTCCAAAGATTGAGGAGGAACTGCCAGAGGCCGATGTGCAAGTCTTGGAGGAAGTGGAAAACACCTGAAATGTAATCAAATCAATCTAGACTTTGAAAAACCAAAGCAAGATAAAAGACCACCAACTGATGGCAGTCATGAAGAAGCATTTCCTATTATACCATTGTTATAACACACTTTCTTGCATCTTAGGCAGTCTTAATTTTAAGAAGCCTCAAATAGGTCAAATCAAAGTCTTAATCTGAATAATATGGATATGTATGTATGACTGAATACAGCAGTTAATTTCATCATATTTAATTTCATAAATTAAAAAAGTCCCATAATTTCTTAGCATATGCCAAAGTTTGTATTTCTTATTATTGACACAGATATTTTGTAATTTGTGCTAAAAATCCTTTTGAAATGTGTTTCTATAAACTAACCAGGAAAAGACCAAGACACCATAAAGGGACATACAACTTTTGGGTACTGGATCTGAAAATGGAGTTTTCAAACCAAATTTAGGACCTAAATTCCTGATGCAGTGAATAAAAAGAAATAGGTACCTGGTATAGAATTCATAGTCAGAATGCCTATAGCAATACTACCACATTTGCCAGTAGAGCATTAGGGCTCAAAGTAGTCAAGGACTACTGCATTTTGCATCCAGTCCTCAATGTTTATGAACCACAAAGAGAAGAGAAAAAAGGTCCACAGAGAAATCAAAAACATCTCCAACATCCTAAACAAGCTAAACACTCTTTGTACAAAGGATAAAACCCTTGACAATGGAAGTCTGTCACAAGGCATCAGCAGCAATCCAACTTATTATTAGAACTGAGTCCTGGCAGCCAGGAGTCTGTAGAATGAGCTGAACTATTTCATCCATGAAATGTGATACTCACCCATGAAAACTGAACTATGACTCATCCTGCAATGGAAGGTAAAACTTCTTAATGTCCCTGCCAAAATTAACTAGGGAAAAAACCTGCATTTTGATCCTTAATCTGAGCATTGTTTAACTTTAATAACTGTTCAAGTCAGCTTAATCATCCACTTCTAAGTTTTGCTGAAATATTGAGCAGTGTGTTTGAAATCCTAGCTCCCACCTAGACACTGATGTCTGCCTACAGACTTAATTTAAGAGCCTGAGTGAGTCTAGTGAAAACTAAACTAAATTAAATCCACAGTTGGAAACCTCTCATAGCCTTAGGAGACTAATTCATTTCCTCAGATATATCTGATCTGGTCACTCTTCCCTTCCAAGAAGACAACTGCAGTAGGAAAAGGTGATGCTGCTAACATCAATGTTTAATGTAACTGTGCAGTGCTTATAGCTCTTGACAATCAAGTAGATGCCTGTGCTGTGAGCATTTCCCATCAAAAGGTGACTCAAACACAATGACTTTTTATTTCCTGTGAGGAGACCCTGACTGCTAGTTAGAGTAAGCATAAGACACTTCCTATTTTGCCTACCAGATCTATGTCGAAGAGTACTTAAGATTTTCAAGCCCAGAAAAAGAAGGAAGAAAGAACATAACTTTGTAATTTACTGATGGACTTATAAATGACTGAATGTGGACGCATACAAGAATGAGCTTCAGCACCCATGTACATGCAGGAAGAGCAGGAGGAAAAAGACAGTCTGTCCACCAGGCTGCTCTTGCATTTTGCATGAAAGATTTAGGACAAGAAGAAAAAGCCTCAAATTGTACCAGGGGAGGTTTAGATTGGACATGAGGAAAAATTTCTTCACCAAAAGCATTGTCAAGTACTGGAACAGGCTTCCTGGGGAAGTGGTTGCATCATCATCCCTGGAAGTATTGAAAACATGTGTAGACGTGGCACTTAGGGACATGGTTTAGTGGTGGACTTGGCAGTGTTAGGCTTATAGTTGGACTCGATGATCTAAAAAGTCTTTTCCAACCCAAACTATTCTATGATTCTATGACAATTACTGAATAAACTCTGGAAGGAAGGAAGTGGAGACCAGCATTTCTCATAACAGGTAAAGCCTCTCCTAACCAGACTGCAGAGTTGTATTTCCTCCAGTTTAGTCCCTCTCTCAGGCCCTGCGGATCTTAAACTTTTCATTATAAGAAAGATCATGAAAAGTGCCTAACCTAAAGCCTTCAGAAGCATAAGGAAGGGTTAGGATTACCTCAGCTCCTGTCTTGTGAGAGACAGACCAACAATCAGAGTTCTCTTTGCTGAAGTAGTTCAGCTCCTGTCTTGTGAGAGACAGACCAACAGAGTTCTCTTTGCTGAAGTAGCATATATGGATTTGAGCCTCTTTTAATGGAAGAGGATCTAAAATCCAGGGCTTGGAACACATCATAGAAACCAGAAGGTTAATGGAATTGTAGACCCTACTCTTTTTAAAATGCAAGTAATGGGTAAAATGGTTTTCTTTGTAGAATTAAAGGCTATCAAAATGCTCTACTTATGCTCAGGATTTTATGCTTAGGACAACTATTTTGAGAACTTTATATAGACTTAAGTGTGAGACAGATGCACCCTACTTAGTACTCAGCCTACTTACCACAGCAACATGCAGTAGCCAAACTTTGGGAACCTTAATGGCAACCCACTGAATAATTCAGCTTTCCCTGTGGGACAAATAAACTGCCTGCAGATATACTGCCATATGCAGGATGAGTTGTCTGATCTTATTTAGTTTTGGGTTGTTTTCTTTGTGTGAGTGGAACTGAACTCTAAGATACAGGCAACTACATTCCAGCCACAGTGTACTTTAAATATGCCCACATGTTCCAGATTCACTTTTCATTCAAACATTCAAAAATGAACAGTTTGGGTTCATTATTACCCAAGAACACAGTCCTAAAGAAGATAAAATTTTACACACCGAGTTTTTCACTCAATACCTTTCAACATAGATGTTCTTCCCAGTCCCAAGGGAATAGAGGCTACAAAGAATTCTGTAACATGAAACCTGTACATCACCCACTAGAGGAAAATAAGAAGTAGATCATCAGTATTTATTCAACTAAAGACTACTTTCCAGATACGAAACATCTGTTTTACACAATCTCATAAACGGTGTCTAAAACTTTTAGTATATGTATCACTGAACATTCTAGGCTGTCAGTACTGCACATGTAATTTACCTTCAATTTCTCTGATACCTGATCTGTCATCTACATTTATTCCAAAAACTAACAGATCAGACATTCCAAGAGGCCAGCAGATACTTGCTAATAAGATACTGCAGGTTATCAAACTTGCAGAGTACGATTTGAAGTTAACCACATCAGTCTGAGTGTCTAACCACTAGGAACATGCTCTAAAGGCTCCCCACCTTTTTAAAGAAAGTATTTTCGCAGCTATCAATCTTTTAATTTCTTTCTCTCAGTGTTTGGAGAAATACTGTACATAATTAACTTGAAACTTACTGAGTATTATTTTTAAACACGCACTAAAAGTAAGGTACTATGCAGCTAATTTCAGATTTAACGCTGGAAATCTGTGTGTTATTGAAAACAGAATTTCATCTTTGAATTCATTCAATCTTTACTAAAAAGTGTTTGTATTATTATAACACAATAACCTCCATAAATAAAATAAAAGACTTACAAAGTAAATCAATTCCAAACTGATATTGTGAAATATGTTCAAAAATTGATGTCAAGATCGGTAACAATGCTACTGTAGTGTAATTGATATTCTGTGAAACACCCTTGATTTGTGTTCGTGAATGGGTAAATTTTCCAAGTTTAAGATTTTCTGAAGTTTTTTCCAGGTCTTCAGCTGCGTTTTCAAAAAAGGCACGCAATCCAGCTTTAACAAGCTCAGATCCTGATTTCATAACAGTTCTGAAAAATATTAAAGGAAAAAAAAATTAACTTTGCATTGATCTTTAGTAGTTGCGTGTGCGCGCGTGCGCATTTGTACATGTTAGTTACGTTGTATCAGTCTTCGAAGATATACACATGTATCTCTGAACTCTACATTATAAACTGAGAAGGACAGTTAAATCTACACAGCAGTGTAAGCAACAATGAGCTTGGAGTATTTCATACAAAATAATAACAAAGAACTTGCTTCCTCAGTCTTGTCTTTCCAGTTTTTGTGATCTCCTTTCAAAGAAGATAATGACTTCTCAGCAAGCGTCATAGGTGGTGAGAAAGCTCCTGCATACAATATGCTCAAGAAAAATAGCTCTTAATCCCTAAATTTTTATGGGAGCCACAGTAACTAGGTATGCAAGCCAGGATGTATGCTCACATATCTTCAAAGCTCCCTAAAACTAAAAATGCAACTGCAATACCAGCATCCCAGTCACATATCTTAAATTTTTTGCATTCTCCATACCCTTAATGAAGCTTTCCAGTGTTGTTATTCTCAATGAGTTCATTGTCAGGCTGCTGTATAACATACCCAGGCCGGAAAACAGCTCAAATGAGAAAACTATCCTTGTTTGTGTTTTAATCTACATAAGCATTTCAATGGTAAAAGGTAGAAGTTAGCAAATGTAATTATGCCCATATATTAATACATTCTGCATTCTTCCAATGCCAAATTTTCCACTCTGCACTAAACTGTCTCAGTATCTACAGGTATCAATATTTGCAGTTCCAAAGTTTGTGTCATTTAAATCTCCCAATAAAGTCTTCAAATGTCCTTCAAAGGGGTGACAAAAGTTCTCAGTGTTTTAATGACAGTCATTGAGCAAAAAAATGTAGATGAAATCCTTTAGACAAAATCTGCTAATATGGCAGTCTGTCAGAATTAAGTGATACTGCTAATATCATTAATTACAAATAAGGAATAAAAAATACAGAAAAAATCCAGCTGCTCCTGAAAAGCTCTGCGACACCTACATAGTTTGTAGTTGGTACAAATGTTGCAAACTTACCGTGTGTCGAGAGACTGAGCTAAGATGTGCAGGCAGTTCACCATTGTAGCAGAATCGCTACCTGGTCAGAAAGAGATATTATGAAAGCACAATGGTGTAGAAAACGTAGGAGAATCTAATGATCCAAAATGTCGTTATTGGAGAGGCACAGATTAAACAAGACATGACATAAGTCTCCCACCTTAGGTCACTGGAGGGAGAGTTAGGTCTGGTTCTAGAGTTAACTTTCAATTTCTTAAATCCATTTCCATATAAGAAATAAAAAGAATAACTAGTGTCTACTTACAGCTCATTTTCATCACTTGACCCTGCAACATTCTGAACTTTGTATCTTGTAGCACCTATGTTTCTTTTATAATTTTCTTACCAATACCTTTGAAAAAGGTACATTATTTTCCCCTACATTCCTTTAGCCTACTGAGATATTATTCTATTGGATTCAACAGCTGGATGACAGAAATAAAAACAATTAGTGTGAGATGAGTTTTGAAAAGCAAAAAGTAACTGCAAAGGCAGGAATTTTTTTTAAAGTCTGAAAATCCTAGAATCTGCTATTTCTTCCTGCTCCAACACTTCACATGTTCTATTAACTTAGCTTCAGAGCCATGCTCAATGCACTCACTGATTGTATCGGAAGTTTATTCATCATTTTATAGCATTCTGCCTATAGCTTGTGAAAAGCTTCAGGCAAGACAGAAGCCATGGTTATACATTCGTCACATTTTTATTTTTATCAAGATCTTTCTGAACAACTTACCAAAAAGTGAGATCCTATGTCTAACAAGAGCAGCTAGTTTGCAGAACAGGCTAAAGCAGAAAAGAACAGAAAAAGCAAGACAAGACAAAGATTAAATATATATTTAGAATATGAGATAAAGGGTAGTAGGATGAAAGAGAAAACACAACACAGCTCCTGGAAAGTGTACTTTGAATCATACATGATGCTAACGGTCAGCCAAATAGCTGCAATAAGCAGAATAACTTCTTGAAGCATCTCAATTCACTTATTTTCTAAGCTTCACTACTTCAGAGATTACTTGAAATGTGAAACTTTCTTTTGATTACAGTGGTTTCCAACAATTGCATATTACATGGTCTAATCATTATTTACGGTTATTATTTCTGAATAAGAATTTGGTTTTTTGTAGAAACAAGAAAAAACAAGTAACATTTTAGTGTTTTACTAGGCATTCTGCAGGATAAGAACATTACAAATCTTCATACTATTTAAGACAATTTGCCAAGATATCCTTTGTAAATAAATAAAATCTGTGTTTAGCCACTGCTGATATTAAGATCAATCCTGAAATATATACAGACTAGAAGAGCTTCTGGCAAGTATGTCAGAAACTCACCTAACTTATCTGTCAAAATAACAGGATCATTAAGAGAAAGGAAAAATCACCAATCACTCCAAGATTAAAGGGGCTACTTTAACTTCCAAAACCAAAGTCAGCTAGGCAGATTCATTTATCATCTGTGCTACACTTTACAAATGGAATCAGGACACAACAAAATGAAGCGAATGTATCTCAGGAATTGGTATGGTCTCTTACTAACAACAGATTGTCATTGTTATCTTCACAATAGTAAGGAAATACTATACTTCCTGTAAGATGAAAATGACTGATAGTCACCTATCTTAATGAAGAATGGACAAAGAATTATAAGATATTTCTGAATTTATAATAGCACATATGCAGGCTAGACAGCTAACTGTGTTCATGTGCCTTTGAAAAGGCGTTTTGTAGAACCCTAGTAAGATCTTTCTAGCTTTAAGCTGACCTCACTGACTTTAAGGAAGTAATAGGAGTACTCAGAGAGGAAGCATGAAATTGAAATAAAATGAAAATTCCATCCTCCTTAACCTGAGCTGACTTCCCCAGCTACTGGAGGACTATCTTGCACATTTGTATACAATACATCTGAAAGCTCAGTAAAGCAGAATCTTAGGGACTTAAAACTCACTCTTATGGGTAACTGCTGTATAAGGACTACTGCACACCTAGAAGATAGAAACTAAAGGGTAACAATAATTTAGAGAAATGCAAAAATGCATTGAAGATAAACTGAAGAATGAAATCCAGGAAGTTCAGTGGTAGGCCTGATCTTATGTAACAATGAGTAAGTAACCTTTTTGTTCAAATTTTATATCTACTCTTCTGTTGGAAAAAGTAGTACACTCTGGTGAACATAGTGAAGGAAAGAAAAAGAAATTTGAGAAACTGACAAAGTAAGTAAGCATGAGAGTAAAATACAGTTTGAAAGATTATGATAGAAAATTTCTCAAAGAAAATAATTGATAGCACACCTTTAAGGGGGAGAAAAAAATTGGCAACAAAAATATTAGATGACAGTCATAGTTAAAAACAAATTAAGTTTAAAATGTTAATTGCAGAAAAATTAAATTCATATTTTTGTAAAGGCAACACATTATAAATTAAAAGGCAACTGTCTCTTTTTAATCGAGTTTTCTAGAACAACTTTGAGCCAAATAGCTGACTCCAACCAAATCTGAAACAGTACAGACATCTAAAAATTATTAAATTCCAGCAATTTTTGTGCGAGGGCAGAAATAATTTTGTAGACAAGGGAGAATCCATAACTACTCCTAAAAAAGCTGCATCAGGGTATTTTCACATTTTTTGATATCTGAAAATTTCAATGTGTGACCATTTAAATGACCCAACAGTGGGATAAGCTTCAACAAGAAACTGCCATCAACAATGAAACAGAAACCCATCAGAAACTAAGTTTTATTAGTCCCATTGCTCACAGAAATCATGTATTAACGTTTTTGATGTTATCATCCAGAATTACATATTGTAATATATATAATTAGTATATGTACTTAAGTCTTTAATTATATATTAAAGAATACCAAAATGAGGAATTCTATTCACTCACTGCCATTCTTATACAGAATAAACTATCACTTTCTATCTGAAGAAACTGAGCTTTTGAACTATCTTCTCTTTAATCTGAGACCTTTAAATATCTATATAGAATGCTCCTGTGTATATCTTAATTTTCTACTTACCTTGCTACCATTTCCTTTTCCTTATTTGATGCATATCCACTGCTACTGAGTGTTTTTGTTGGAGAAGACAGGAAGTAGAGGCAGTGATTTGTAAAGTACTGATCAACTAATGGTAAAAGAACCTAAGAAATACAGATACAAAATGTATTTTTCACAGAGCACAATGGTAAATGTAGCAACAATGCTCTGATTGGTCAAAGTTCATTCAAAGAATTTTATAAGTTCTGTAACAGCTATATTTTCCCATTTCAGACACAAAGTCATATAAATTAAAACCTTAAGTCTTATGATTTTACTTAAAAGTTATGTAAATAATAGACAGAGTTACACAGATCTATCTATATTGGATCTATTACTCCAGGCTTACTCTTCTCACATTAAACAGTGGTAAACATCACTGATTGAAGAGGACCTTTCCTCTCCACTACCTATGTAACTGTCCAGTACAGATATAAGGGGAGAGGTTGTTGGTTTGGGTTTTTTGTTTGTTTATTTGCTTTTGTTCTTTTTTTTTTTGTAAAGATCCTAAATGAAATCCTAAATGTTCCTTACTTCAAATCTGATTATAGACAACATTTTTCTTATTAGGTACACCAATGTGTATGGCATTACTATGCATAGGAATATTTCTTCCTGTTAATTAAATTATACTATGCACTTCAGTGATATATCAAGGCAAAAATTTTCAGAAATAATTTCTATGTTCAGAGAGAGTATTTAATTTCAAGTAATAAATAAGCTGCCTTTTAATTTCTATGTTCCTTCTCGTGTAGAAGCAGATATATTGAAATATTTTGAAATATTTGGAGCCAGTACATGTATCAAAATACTTCTGAACATATTTTGAAATATTTGTTAACAACATTTAATTGCTTACTTACCGTGAAAAAAATGGGAAGGATATATTTCTATTACCTGAAAAGCAGTCTAACATTACAAATTTCCATGTTCTGTATAACGGAATGTATATGTACATTACTTGAAATATTAAATCACTCACTTTGGCAAAGAATTTTATCTCTTGGTCATGTGGAGATTTCTCAGTTTTTCCACTGGTTACAATGGCTTCTGCAAGGATACAATCAAGGCAGACAGGAATAAGTTGTCTAATAATAAATAGCACAATAGCTCTTTGATATAGCCTTGCAAGCTTAGTTTGGCTGAAATACAAATAAAACAGCGGAAACAGTTTAGCTAGTTACAGATGTCCAAGAATTCAATATGCAAATTAAAAGACAAAATTTAAGTTTCTTAAATGCCATAAAAATCATGGTCGCTACAATTTTAAACATATCAATCCAAATATTTAAATATCAACAATTTAAATTATTTTCAAAATAAAATCTGCAGCTTACCCAAATGCGCAATAAACTCTTGAGCAGAATCAACATATTTCAAAATTTTCTTCAGAAACTTAAAGGCAAACCTCTTTTCCATGGATGAAGCATCCAACTCCATGTCATTCAGACCCCTGTTTTAGAAAGCATTAAGATAAATAGCATTGATGATGACAGTACTATGAAGCATTCCACTCCTCATTTTTTTTTTAAAATATGGTAAAATTTGATAAGAAGGAGAAAATAACCTTTTATAGCAACTCTTAGTTATCAGATACATAGCAAGAGATGTTAAAAACAGTTCACGTTTCTCTAAGAGGTATCACAGCTTTGGATTAAAGTATCTAAAATATATGTATTTTAGGGTAAGAACTTCAGAGATCTGTCTCATTGCACAAATGAAGCTATGCTACATTTGAATCTAACAAAGCAATGTGTTAGCCACTCAATTACTACTGCTGCCAGATTAAAGTGCCAAATGTTTCGGAAGTCAGTAATTACAGCTTTACAAAAATCAGTCTACGTACTACACTTCGTTCATTATTCATTATTAAACTTAATTTTTGTTCTTGCATTTTATGAAAGACTGAAGTCAAAATTACTTAAGTTACTAAATGAAAACCTAAATGCAAGTAACAAACTACTATACTACTCAAACTATTTGGAAAATGTCAAAAGTATGCAGTACTTTCTAAAGAGGGCATGTATTATCTATTCTTTGAGATAAATTCATCACCTTAATCATGACTGCTGCATGCAAAATATTAAAGAGGTATAAAAATATGTGTGGTTTGCTGTGCCTAGATTTAAAATGTTAGACTTTATTTTAGCTACAAATGAAACCTACCTCACTGAAATTCTAAAATTCTTTAGGATCACAGAAAAAATTAGGCTGAAAGGAACTTCTGAACTGACCCAACTCCCATCTCAAAGCAAAGCTAAATCCAAAGTTAGATCAGGTTGCTCAGAACCTCGTCCAATAATGTACTGACTATCTTCAAGGATCAAAATCTCATAACGACTCTGGGAAACCTACTGTAATGTTTGACCATCCGCACTGTGAAAAATTAAGGGTGAAAGATTTTCATTATCTCTAACAGGAATTTCCCTTGTAACAACTTGTTATTTTTGAGGAGATAGTGTTTGACCTCATTGTCTCTATAACCTTGTATTAAGTAGTTGAACACAGTGGTAAAGTCCCATCGTAGTCTTCTGTTTTAACACTGAAAAAGCTACCCTCTCCTCAGAGCCTCTCCTGGTATGATATGCGTGCCAATCCCCGAAGCATCTTGGTGGCCCCTTCACTTCATTAACTCTTTTGTCAATGTCTTCCTTAGCACTGGTGAACCAAAAACTGGACAACATACTCTGATACAGTCTCATGACTGAAAATGGAAAGGGGGAAAAAAATCTCTTCCATCAACCTGCAGACCACACTTACTAATACAGCCTTGTATGCAGTCAGCCTTCATCATCAGAAGGACTCCGTCCTGATTCATGTTCAACTTGCAGAATTCGAAATGCTCTTCTGCACAGATGCTGTCAGGCTCAATTTCCAATTTCCCTGTTCTTGGGGTTATTCCATCCCAGATATAGGACTTGGCATTTACCATTGCTCAACCTCACAAGGGTTCTGTCAGCTCAATTTTCCAGCCCATCAAAGTTCCTCTGAAAGGCAGCCAAACTCCCCAATTTTTTGGTAAGGGTTCATTCCACAAAATTGCTAAGGATGCATTCTATCTCATCATCCAGGACATGAACAGCAATTTTTTAATTTATTCTGTTTTCAAAACTACTTTTTTTTTTTTTACAAGTAATTAATTCTTTCTTCTTCATTTCCTCAAGGCTTTCTCGTACATTTGTTTAGTTTGCAACTTCTTCATAGCCTCTTCACTCCAACATTAAGAGGACTAAACTGTACTTGAGATTTTCAGTTGATGGTGGCCTACACCCAAGACATCTAACCAGCTTGCCAAGTGAGGAAGTAACTAAGTGACATTAAAGGAAACCTCTGGTTACCCATAATGACGACTTAATTTGCTTCTGTACAGACTCTTCAAACAGTAGTAGACACGAAGACTCTCCCTTTATCAATTAGAGAAAATGACCTGGCTAAAGGAGATGCAAAGACCACACAGGGGTTGAATAGTGTGTCAGAAGTAGGGAAGAAGTGAGGAACTGGTAGTTTGCGGCACTGACAAAAGCAAGAAAGGAACAAGACAGCAGGAAAGTTGCTGGACTCACTGTTGTGGTACTGAGAAAATGATCATTTGTCCTGAGATTCCTCAGCACTGGTGTAGGGTTAAATTAGGGAAGATTACACTAACAGTTGAAAAACAGCTACGACATGAATCCAAGGAAAAAAACAATTCTGTAGAAGGCTGATGCAGCAGAAATTTTAACATCAAAACCACCTAATACTAAAGTGTATGTTCTTGACCATGTCAGAACACGGGTAAGAGGAGAGGAATGGTTATAGTCTGGTGGAAGAGAACCAGGGAACAAAGGAATATTTTCCAATCCCATTTTACACGTAAACATAAAAGGACTCTTCCATCTTGCAGTTTCACTTGAGAAAAAAAAAAATCTATTTGAAGAGTCCTAGTTTACATATTTTCATGACCTCCTCGTAATTGATACATCACATGTACTGTCAAATGATTTGGTATGTATAAACAGCTATGTATGTTTGACAGGCATCTCTGGCTGCCTCAGTCTCACAGAGAATAAGGCAACTAAGTATTTATCTGTACTTTCAGCGAGATCACTGTAAATATTCCCTTTTTGTGTTTATAGTAAGTCATGGTTGCTAAGAGATTACATGCAGTTTTCTAAATATTGAAAGACATTGGTAGTTCTGTTAAATACTGAAGGCGACATCAGAAGAACTTTTAGAGGTTTAAGGATGCTTAACAAAATACCATGTTGTTTCTAACCTATACCTGAGTAAGGCCTGAGAGATTTGTATGTCATCAACATCCAAAAATGCTTCAAAAATGCTCTCAACATGGAAGGAGGAGCAAAAATCAAAACAGAGGCAGATGGTATATGCAAAGTACACATACTGTGCCGCCTATATGTTTCCAATTATAAAGAATTTCCATGTTTTAATGATTAGTCCAATGTTTTTAAGAATGACATTCTGGAAATGTGATAATTGCAATCAGTACTTCAAAAGATTTTATATATACTTAAAATATGTACATATTCATCTGAAGAAAACACTGAGAAGAGGATAATCTTGATTCACCCTGATATAGACAATTACTGCAAACTCTTTGCCCATACCCCATGAACAGTTTGAACAGACTTCTCCCATTTCAGTTAACACTGAAAACATTGTCCTCCTAAGCCAAAGAGATGCAGCTGCAAAAGAGATATTAAAACCAATATTTGAGCAATGCTCCATCCCTGGCAGTGTTCAAGACCAGGTTGGATCGAGCCTTGAGCAACCTGGTCTAGTGAGAGGTGTCCCAGCCATGGCAGGGGGGTTGGAACCAGATGATCTCTGAGGTCCCTTCCAACCCAAACCATTCTATGAGTCTATGATTCATTTGCAGGAACTAAACCTGCTTTTCTTATTCAATGGCTATAAAGCAATTATGGAGGATATAAAAATGTTTGGTGGCATACCTACATTTTGGCTTCAGGCTGAGAGCCTACATATGTGGCAGGAGGGAATTTTTCTCTGTAGCAATGCAGAAATGTATATTTAGAGCTGTCTCCTAGTAGCCTAAGAAATGTTATTAATTGTTGAAGCCAACAAAGTTACCTTTTGCAAATACTAATAATCAATTTGTATAAATTTCTGTAGGTATACTTTCACTAGACACAGACTTGAAAAGTAGAAATAAATAAAATCAAGTAAGATCCAATCCTATGTATGTACAGAAAAACTTGTTCGTGAATACAGTTTAGTTTACAAAAATGTTTAATGCCAGAAAAATTGCAGTTTCCTATGTGCTCAGGTGTTTCACATACAATAAAAGACAGTAGTTATAGTATAGTAACTCACAATTCCATCATATAAAGCCAAAAACACAGTATAAATTATACTAATTTAATTGACAGCCTAATTGCCAACAGGCCAGCTTACTTCCAGACACAGCAATTCAAGTTCAAGTACAACTAATGAAGTCTGCGCTTCTGCTTAAGCAGAAGTTATGGATGAAATGCCCACAAAATAGCCACTTTGTGTTACTGCTTCACAGAACTCAAATCGATACTTTTCTTAAAAACTGGATTAAAAAACATGGATGTGTTTACATAGATGTGTTTCAGTATCAGACCTCAGATACATTTTCCCATGATCCCTACTAACACTGCTGGCTGCTAATTTAGAAGCTTTGAATCATCTGCTTGTTTAATTACATTCCTGTTGCATTTTGTATTTACTATGATCGCATACTAATTAAAAATGTTACCTGTCTACACTATTTCAGAAAGGTCTTCCTGAACATAAAAATAACAAACACTCTGATTTACAGAAGATATCCCAAATGGTAGTTATGTTAATAACTAACAGACTGTAGTGAGATAAGGACAACTATTGTGGTTTGTGCACTGAATGTAAACAAGTATCTCAGAAAAATGTGCAACTTACCGAGATATGATTATACCATTGACTTGAAGGAATTTAAACAGCTCTTGTGCCTTTTCACGGTCCCGTGCTTTCTCCTTGGCTGTCAACGTGTCATAAGGTACCAATAAAGGATGACTACCTCCACCTTTAGTAAGTTGAAAGAACTGTAAGTTTTTCTACTGTAATGTTTATTTTGCTTCAAGTACAAAAAGGAAATATTCAGTTTTGATTGTCTTACAGTTTCTTCTTTCAGACTGTTTCTTCTCCCTCATTTGCCTTGTCTTTTTTGTAGGGTTCACAGGAGTCTGGCTTACCTTTGCTTTCCAACTCCGTTTTCTTCTTTTTGGCCCATATATTATGGTAGTTTTCTGCCATTACCTCAACCATTCCCTACATTACCATCAGAAAAAAAAGATGGAAAATTAAAAGGTGACAATTAAAAATTTTGTAATTCTACATCATTTTACAGTCTTGAGTAAAGTCTACACTCTTGAGGTAAAGAAACATCACAGTTACGTGTCATTTCTACATTCAGCTCTTCTTTCAAGTCAGCACAGGCACAGGATACACATATATCACATGCTGTTTGCAGCCCCTTCCCTAGCACCACGATAACTTTTTCTAGGAACTCAGAAGCACCAATGGGATAAACAGCAGAAAATTCTTCTTTAAATAAAGGCATGCACCTTTCTATCACAATCATAGTCAAAAATACACTCATAAAACCTGACAAAAATCAACTCATTAACAATAAAACCCCAAATCTATCTATTCTTTCCAGCACAGCATATGGAAAACACAAATACAAACCTGAAGCTCCCTAGAAAGCACCACATTAGAGAGATCAAGTGGCATTGGGCTATATCCATTTCCCTGTGGGAAAAAGAAGATAATTATTTTCAGATAAAAGTATTTCAGATTAATAAAAAATAATCAAATATTCAACTACAACATCTCTGTTGTTGATCTGATTAGAGCAACACCATTCACATTTTTAAACTTTCTTGTAGAAACTATGTTCACCTTTTGTTTTGCAATATGCTGAAGACACACAGGGTACATAATAACATATATCTGCTGACATGGAAATAAGGTTGCAGTAGATACTTAGATTTGCAACAGATGGCAAGCTGCTAAAAGCTATGCTTTTCAGTGTCCAAGAGGAGACCAATCATGAGGCACACAAGGTGTATGTTCAATACACGACAGAACAGCGTGGCAGCAGCCTGGATGAACCATGTATTAAAGACAAGACATGACAACAAAAAGTTACATTAGGTTATTGTCTCATGGAATTCACAGAGTAAGAAAAAGGAGTGTGATACATTTATGCAGTCTTTAAATGTTTAAAGTGTGAAAGCTCCAGTGCAACAAACCTATTAGGTACATGTTAAATGCGAATGATCACATGTAAATCAGTGATTTCAATCATGTATTGAATGTAAACATGTGCTGAAATCCTCAACTCAATCATGTTTTTATCATGCATCTTCTTGAGCAAGAAAGCCCACTGCAGAACATGTTCAACTGGCTACAAGCAAAGATGCCAGAGACAGAAGGACTCCCTGTAAGGGAGTGAAGTTTGCTGAAGAGGTAAGAAATGCTGAAGTACTGTCTTGTAACAGAGTGCTCAGGGGCTAGTTTTGGTAAGCAAAACTGGTGCTGGGGAATGAACCCAACACAGGTGTCCTGGGTTACAGTGTAAAAT